GCACACACACACACACACACACACACACACACACACACACACACACACACACACACACACACACACACACACACACACATACTGAGAACTACATGTTGTCTAAAACCCAACTACCCCGCAGCAACAAGAAAACGCTAATCTCTGACTACAGTTGAAGGATTTCCTGTGATCTTAAAATAATCACTTCCCGGGAATCACAGTCCCTTTTTTCTTTTGTATTTTCTGTGGTAGCAGAACAACAATTTCTTAGAAAAGTATATTTCAGGTGGAAAAACACAATAACAATCATCTGGTCTGCAGCAAATGCAAATGATTAAAGTTCATTTCAGTGAGAAAGCCGGCATCATTATTAATGGTTTGACAAAAAAAAATTGATGTGTTTTTCAGTTATTTGTATTTATCAGCCTCTGAGAAGCTTTAGCTCTCCTATAGTCTCATCAAAGTTCAGTTCATTTGAACTGACACAATGTGAGAAATAAAGAAGTGATTGTGATGCATTATCCCTTTGTCTCTGCAAGAGTTGATTTTCATAGAAATAAGAATGCCTGGAAGAGAAGAAATTAATCTGAAAAGTAATGGAAGGAGTGTTGGAAAATGATCAGCTGACTGATTTCTGAACTAAAATATATTGTATTTTTCAGATAAGATAATGCAGAACATATTTAGAATGAAACTAATTAAACCTAATGCCCACCAGAGAGGTGTTACTGTGACCATTCGTCTTCTGTCCTTTGGTTCAAGAGGCTCATTTACGCTCTTTCTCTCTCAGTAATTAGATTGTTTAATTTGCACATGAAGTCATGTTCTGTCTCATGCCTGAATGAGAATGCTGTTCTGCAGTAATGAGCGACCTTTACATATACCACACACACATCCAGCTGTTGGTCTGTGTGGTTTCATGCATTAATAATAATAATAACTATTTGTATAGCAAATTTTAAAAACAGAGTTTACAAAGTGCTTTGATCATTGTGATACACGAAATGTAATTAAATATAAAACTCTACCTACAGCCAGTGTTTGGTTTGTCCGTTCTGGGCTACTGTAGAAACATGGCGGTTCACATGGTGGACTCCCTCTGTAGATGAAAACCTCTCATACATATGATTCTTATTTTCTGGTGAACACATACTTATGAATATCATATTCCATTTCTGCCAACAGATTCTCCTTAATGTTACACACTGTACCTTTAACTGAACTTTGTATCATCATTTTATATTATCTGTATTGTTTTTTCTGTTAAACTGACTTACTGACAAAGAGCGCTACTGAACACTGATAAACAAATGAAAAAAAATCAGTTTCTCAAGGTCCACGTCCAGCAGACACTCTTACACACATGGTGTTTGTAGAGGACACTATAGAGGGACTGGTGTTCACACCTGTTTGGACTCGGATGGTCAGGACTCTTGGTTGAGCAATGAGTGTACCTGAATGTCCACACGTTGGAAATTGGACTTTGCACATTCATTCGGTAATTTCAAAACAAACAATTGCATTTCGTTACATTTTACAGTGCCGCCATGAGGCAGGATTGTAAGATTTCATAAAAACTCATACCAAGCAGAAGTTTATAATTAGTATTTAAAGCTGCAATTCTTCTAGTTACTTTCTGGCCACTGCACAAAGTAAGTCAGTCCCACCTTCTCTCTACAATCAATGAGACTGAACAATTTTGTAAAAAATAACTCATTTACGGTTAAAGCTGCAGTAGGTAACTTTAATAAAAAGAACTTTTTGTCTTTAAAATTTCCCTATAACCTGACAATAGAACATGAGACAGATAATCTGTGAAACAAATCAGGTTCCTCTGACTCCTCCTAGTGTTCTTGATGGAATTTTCAAAAATCCACCGGAGCCAATCAGAGCACAGAAAGATAGCAGGTCATCAAATATTGACACTTGTTTTGCTTGCTGAAGCTAAGGGATCAAAAGCGTTGTTATTAGATGACCTGAGAATGAGTCAATGTTTTGTGTTGTAGGATTTTATCATGAGAGTTTCTGTTTTTTATAACTGGAATTATATTGCTCTCACAACCCATTTTAGATAATTCACTGCCTACACTTCATCTGCAAATTGCTCCATTTTTTTTGCCAAAGCCAGAACACATGATTATGATTTGCATAATTTTGTCATGGTATGTGTATATTGTGCCTCTTGTTTTTGGCACTTTGCAAATATGAAAAACTGAAATTAAAATCAAATTGAATGATCTGTGATACATTTGATTTGGATTTGGGAAATGTGTCACACTGTCAACAGATCAGTCTTAGTGAGCCAAAATTGGAAGAAGAATTATCTTTTTAATGGAAATAAACTATCATGAAGGAATCAACAGAATTTCATGTGGAAGATAAACTAAATGAAAATCATCAGGCAGCATCACAAACAGTGTTAATTCTTACATAATATCTAGTTGGTTTTGCTATTATAATTGTTCCTTTTTTTCCCTTGTCAATTATTTTCTGCAGATATACTGTACATAACACTACCATATTATATTATTTTGATCCACATTAGTTGTTACATTGTCAACAACTGCTCTGTGTTCCATATTAATATTACACTACCGTATAATCAGCAGTTGTTTCAAATGACTGATGGAACTTCCTTCATACAACATTTACACTACATATGGTAATTTGTACAGCTGCCTTACGGGAACCAACCCACGTACAAACAGTGTTTGGTTATGGAACCTTTGGTGACACAAAATACATATTATTATCTGTAAATCAGAGTCTTACCTGTAGCTGTGGAGTTTCCAGTATTTCCTTTTTTTCTGAGGCTCTCTAAGCTGCTCAGCATCATTGATCAGCAGAGTTTCAGTTTCTTCTACAGTCCCTAACTCATCTGCAAAGACCAGAAAGATAGGATAAATCTGAATATCAATAAATACTATTCTTGCCAAACACTCTTCTCAGATAGTCATTTTAATATCTCAGTGAGCTGAACTAAGGTTTAAGGAGCTGTACTTCACTTGATGCACTTCACAGTCCAGTGTATAACATTTAGGAGGATCTATTGTCAGATAGGAGCCTGAAAATCAAGATTGTTGTTTTTTTTTTTTGTTACCTTAGAATGATCTTTTTTTATCTACAGAGGGAGCAGGTCCTCTTCCATGGAGTCTGCCATGTTGAACCACCACTGTTTCTACAGTAGCACACATTGGCGTAACCACTTATTCTAGATAATCGTAACTATCTTAAATATGTTCTTATTTTATGAGCCTTGGATCTGTCTTTTAAGTTGGCGCCACATTTACAAAGGTTGAGTCCTTGCAGTAGCGGCCAGGTGTTCAACACTGACCTGTGACCCTTTGCTGCGTGCCATATTGTTTTTACAGTGCTGAGAATATAGTCTTAAAGCCAGTCATAACTACAAATAGGTCTACATGCACTGCTTAAGTTTGGATGGATGAAAACTTTTAAAGCTTGGTTGTGTTAGTCTAAGGATGAGAACATGTCTTATTTTAGAAGTTTTACAGCCTGCCTCTGTACAGTGACAGTATGGAAGCTTTATGCTGAGCTATATGTCGCTATTTCAGTCTGTGAGCCGGAGAAGGCGACATGGTGGTGGACCCTGTAAAGCTCCACTAATCTGCTGCTGGACATCTGCTGGCTCCCCAGAGATCCCACAGCCTGCAGCGGAGCGGGAGAAGGGGCCCTGGTGTAAACCTGTCACACACAGGTATTTATTTGGGAGACGGGGGAGCTGTGTCTGTCCTGTTAGCGCTCTTTTGGGATCACACTGAGACACTTAAAACACACACTGGGACCTGACCAGCTAATAGATTGAGATTACATTTTGATGATGGGAAGGAATGTGATACAACATGATACTGTATGTTACAAAACAATGGATTAAACCTATATAGAACTTAATCTTGATACCCAAAGCACTTCACACAGTGAAGGGAGGAAACTCACCTCAACCACCAGTAGTGTAGTGTAGTGTAGTGTAGTGTAGTGTAATACTGTACTCTGTAACCATTTACCTTTAATGACATCTTTATTAAAAGTCCAAATGGTACCCCTTTAGTTGAGGTCAAGGTAATTATTCATCACACGTTATAAAAGCATTTGATAGTGTCATAAAACTTACTGACATCTTCATGACAAGTCCAAAATGTACCACTGTACTTGAGACCAAGGAAAATATTCATTGCAATCAATTCTCTTGACAGCCAATTTCATAGCCAACCACATATGACAGTATGATGTAATGTTGACATATAAAGCTAAATAGTTTCATTAAGTTTGATACTATGGCGTGTTTATGACAAGTTGTCATAACAAAGACATCTCAAACAATGTCAACTTTGCATAAAAAGTGACATAATTGACTAAATGACTACAGCCATAAACATTGATAAAGACTCCTTCATAGTCATGGTTATGATAGTGTCATACAACCCCTTCTGATATAGTGTTAAAAACAGGAGTAATATAATTAGGGAAAAGCAGAGAAAATGCCAAAACAACTTGAATCAAACTGATTAAAGATATTAAAAGTCAATAAAACAAGAGTCACAAGCAGCAGAAAACAAAACCAGACGATTAAAATCCAACCAGGAAACAATTACAAAACTGTTTCCTCATAAAAGGGGATTAAAGCCTGGATCGAAGAGATGGCACAGAGCTGCACTGTCACCTGGTTGCCCAGTTTCCCTGCAGCTCTTGCTTTAACTCAGCCAACAGTTTATGAGCCATCTATCACCTCATATGTCATAGACAAAGCAGCGGAGGAAAAAATAGACCCGATTGATTTTGCTTTCCACGAAACAATAGACAGTGACTCGTTGGCTGCATGAGTCCACGGGCCTAAGCCCCAGATGCTTGTGGGATCTTGAATGTGGGATTCTCGCCAAACACGACAAAGACCCAGCTTAGCTCACACAATAGCACACGTAACCCGGCTATATTTAAGACCAGCAGGCCAGGTGTTGACCAAATGCCCCTCGCTGTGTTTCTGCAGGCAGGCATCTGAACGCAGGTCACACCTAAATATATAAACACTGTGTGCTGTTGGTGGAGAGTGACCAGCCAGCGTGAGCCGCAAACATACCTCACAGGTGAGAATTTTTGTTTGCAGAGACTTACAGATATTTGACTTTGTGTTTGTGTCAGAATTAGGATTTTTGTTGCTGGAAGGGGTCAGTAGAAGCAAATCTTTCTGTCTGTGAAGGGTGTGGACATAATAATATGAACACCTCTAGGTCTGCAATCTATGCTACATATTTTGTTGTCATTGTTGGATTCTTAAACTTTTTTTGCATTGGCATATCATTTTAATATTTGTAATATTTTGCCTCTACTAGGCAGGCTTAATGCATTTTTTTTATAAGTCTGTAATTTAGGAATTATCTCTCACAAAGTTTCTTGGAAAGAAGCGAATTTTCCTGTAATTAGTACCAAATTACAGGAAAAAATCAATTAAAAGCCAAGAAAATCTTAATTGATTGATTAATTAAATATTTCACATGTTTGCATGATCAGCTGAACTGTTGTGCTCTGAGTAAAATACTCTCTACGCTAGCAATTAATTGTGTATTAAAAGTGTATCAAATGAACACAGTCCCAGTTCTCTCTATTATGAGCATAAATACCCAGAATATACCCAGAAAAGCTGTTTCTGTTATTTTGCTTTCCCTCTTGTACCTTGTGGTATTCCAACTGCATGCAGATCTGTGAGAAAAGCAGGGAGCAGCTGAACTGAAATTGATAGCAGTAGGAGTTTTGAAATAATTTAGATGCAATATAACACTTTTCAAGGTTTTCTGAGTAATTGCCATCCCATTTCTGTCATTTACTAACATTATTGTGGTGATAAGATTATATGGCACAGATTCGGCTTGTTGAAGATATTCACCTTCAGACAAAATGTTAAAGTAAGAAAAAGAACATCAGCAGTTTTTGTTTTATGGCACATTTAATGTCTGGTTCAGTCTCTGATAAACCCACTGCACAATACCTGCTCAACACCAAACATTCAGACACAATTATAAACAAGGAGGTGAAGAAAGTTCTAGCAGCTAGAGAGACAGCTATTTCTCTCAGGAGGTGGTGGACATCAAACCAGTGCTTGTTCTACTGCCCCCAAGTGGCCAAAGGATCAATGAATGTAATATTAAGCAGAGGTGACTTGTGCTCAGGAATGCAAAACCATTTCCCTTCCCCCTTGAACTGCTGTTTATCAACTGGAATCATGTGTCTTCTCCCTGCAAAGGGATGAGCACTTATGAAGACTATGGTGAAGATGAGCTCGATAACTACATCATCCAGCTCAGTATTCAAGACTCCTGCCAAGATGCCTTTCTGAAATCTGCAGCAAGGTATGGAAGCCATCCAAATGTTCACACCCTCCTTTGATAATATGATCAAACCCAGCTGACTGCCCTGTGCTTTCTCTGCTCCTGGCTCTTAGTTTAGCAGCAGCGACGGATGAAAATCTGAGAGTCCTTGCTGCCATCGAGCAAGGTACGTTGGATATCATGCTGGAAATACCTTCACCATTACAGAGTGTTATGTCTGTGTTTGGTCTGTTGGTTGAGGCCAAATCCAAAGTCACAAGACCAGCAGCTGTAGGTGGGCATCAGATGGCTGGCAGACTGGCAGAGAGAGGGAGATACATAAACAGAGGTAGGAGAGAGATGTTGTATGAGAGCAGGAAAAGGCTGAAGAGGAGAGACTGATTTGCAGAAAAAAGGGAAAAAGTACAGAACTCTGTCTCATCTCCAGCGAGTCCTTGAAAGACTTCAAAAATCTTTCCTTTCTTCTTTCCTAAAACCTGTTGTCTGGTTGCCGGTGTGACCAGGTGAGGTCTTGGTGCTCAGGGAGATGCTGGGACACACCTTCGCCTTCAGGGAGTCCGACAGTCATGGCTGGCTTCCCCTCCATCGAGCCGCATCCCAGCCAGTCCGGGAGGTTCTGGAGACTGTCTTGAGATGTAAGTACTTTTGCTCAGTATAAGGCCATTTTATTAATATCTCAGTGTATTTGATTAATTCCTTTAAAAGTTACGACAATAAATAAAAAATGTCACCATGTGAAGTATGGGCTAATAATATTGACACCATGATGCATATCAAATGGTTACTGATAAACTGACAAACTGGAGAGATCAGTTCATAACAGCAGTGTTTTAATAAAAACCAGTTACTGAGGGAGGACTTCACACTATTTTGTCAGTAATGTATTTATTAATATTTTACATAATAACGATGCCGCAGTACATGTAAGGAGTTGTTGTAGGTGCAAAATATCCTACCATGAGATGCAGATTTATTTATGTACATAAGACAGACTGATAGTAATATATTTTTGTGAGTCAAGAAAACGTTAAAATTTAAAACAACTGGTGGCTGCCATGTTGAACCACCATGCTTCTACAGTAGCCAAGAACAGACAAACTGAAAACTGGCTCTAGATAGGGCTAGTTTCTCCCTTGTGCTTGGAAGAAGACGGTGAAGCGAGTGAGTTGCAATCTGCAACTTCACAGCTAGATGCCACTAAAATCTACACACTGGTCTTTTAAAGCAGCATTGAACCAGACAGTAAATGTGATGTAAAACCAAAACTGGGAGCTAAAAAAGTCTAGAAATCTCAGCAGAGCTGTAGGATTGGGGTATCTGGGACACTTATAATACATATAGTCACATGCTCAAACATGTGACTATGTGTATTATAATGACACATTGTATTGTATGCAACCCCGGAAAGTTCCTGGGAAGCAGCTGAGCTAGTCACATGCTAAGCAACAGACAGACAGTGGTGAAAATATAACCTCATTCCACCTTTAACGGTGGGGATGACACCAATAAAGATGATAAATAAAGATGACAAGCAAAGGTGAAGCATCAGGACACCACAAGTTGAATGCAGGGGAGGCGACAGGATTGGTGGCATCATCAAAATAATGGCTGCCTTAAATAATACAAATCCACAGAATACTTCACTGAGACAAGATGCTGCCCTCCAGCTGATGATAGCTGATGTCATCAGTCCTATCGCTCTAAAATAACCTGGAGGTCAGCCAGCAGCGAGGGGTCCACCATTTACCGGCTCACCTGCCAGGTTAGCGCAGTCTGATAAGAACTCTAGGAATGTGCATGTTGACCTCTGGGTGTGTTGTGTTTGTGCCAGTGGCAGCTCAGGGTTTCAGCCTGGAGGAGAGGACAGCCGTGGGAGGAGAGACCCCACTGACACTGGCAGTTAAAGCCGGACTGGTGCAGAATGTGAAGAGCCTGTTGGAGCACGGAGCATCACCTCATAACACCAACAGCAAAAACGAGTCGCCACTGCTGCTCGGTAACACCACAGAGCATGGAGGTTATGATTAACAAGACTAATGGTCTCATGAGACCCTGATGGTCATTACACACCTTAATGGATGGATGAAATATGGAGAGAGATCTTTTTTATCTGAACATCTTTATCATTTGTGGAGGATATTTATAAACTTTGTTCAGAGGGTGGCACCAGAATAATGTTACTGCCTAGAAAAAACGTAAAAACTAAGAAAGATAAGGAGCAAAATGAGTTCCATAGAGCTGCAGAGTTGGTAAAAATTCTGTGTGTTCGCAGCTACAAGAAACACCTTTTACCTTGGTAAGACTGAAAAATATTAAGTGCAGCTTGTTTTAGTGTAAATTCTGTTCTATAAACTAAATAACTCTAAATAATTCATTGCTGATTAAGACACTTTCCACTCATCTTGCAGCGGTGAGAGCCAGCTCTTATGAGATGACGTACTCACTGGTTGCTCATGGCGCCTGGGTGGAGCAGGTCTGCCGGAAGAAGTGGACGGCGACGCATGAGGCGGCCAAGTTGGGAAACAGGGAGATCCTGATGCTGCTGCTGAGGAACGGCGGCCGGGTAAACCACAAGGATGTGACGGGAGTGACGCCGCTCGCTGTGGCTGCGGAGCATGGACACTTCCACAATACTGAGATTCTGCTCAACTTTGGTCAGTCTGAAGACAAAACTGGGTTTCACTGCAGGTTTAGAAACTGTAGAGAGATATGATTGGACACAAAGGCTTTCACAAAGGCAATAAGTGCAATACTGTATATTACAAACCATTCAAATTAAATAATTTTCTTGACAAAGGTCTTTGTACCAAAACATTTGACTAGTTCTGACAGTGTGAGGGATTTATTGTTAGTCACTTGTTTCCATTTTTAGGTGGGCAAAAGTCCAGTCCTTTTCTTTCTTCCCTCTCTTCCCTGCTCAGGTAGCAGAGTGAACTCTCAGGCCTGTAATGGGGAAAGTGTCCTGTTGGACGCGGCTGGATCAGGAAACACGGCCTGCATTCAGCTGCTGCTGGACAACGGAGCCGACCCCAACCTGCCCAGCATGACCGGACACCTCCCCATCCACAAGGCAGCGCACGCCGGGCACTACGAGTGAGCTCCTCCTGTCCAACACTGTCAGACTGCGGGTTGTAATGAACACTGCATCCTTTAGATGATGCCTGTGGGTCGGTCCCACCTGAAAGTGAAATTCATACATGTCTTTGTAAAATAGGTGGTGACTACTCTCAGGGTTAACAGCTGATAGTAGCACAGCTTATAAAATAAGATAGTTTCTTCCATTTTGGACTCTTTAGCTCTTTATACCCTCGAAGGTCTGCATTGTTAACACAGCTTGCTATTGGTCAACAAATTCACTTAAGTTCGTAACAGACCTTTAGACTCAAAGTCTTTTTGAACTCTTGGTTCTTATTAAATGATTGCACCTTTGTTTCCTTTTCCCCCACAGTGCTCTAAAGATGCTGTTACCTCTGACCACTAAGAAGGCCATCAAGGAGGCAGGTCAGAGCCCGGTCCACTCTGCAGCAGATGGAGGCCAGAGCCGCTGCCTGGAGCTCCTGTTGGGCTATGGCCTCGACGTCAACTACTGCATGAACACCAGAAACTCAGAAAACTACCGGGACATGAGGAGAAGCGCCTTGTACTTTGCAGTCTCCAATGGGGACGTGGATTGCACCAGTGTCCTGTTGGCGGCTGGGGCGAAGACGGACCTGGACCCACTGTGCTGCCTCCTGGTGGCGGTCCGGTCTGGGCACTACGAGATCGTGAAGCTGCTGCTGGCGGCCAAAGCAGATGTGAACTGTTACTTCACAGTGGTGAGCAACACCGTGTTTCCCACGGCGCTGCAGTACTGTCTAAAGGACGAGGTGATGATGAGGCTGCTGCTCAACAACGGCTACAATGTGGAGAGATGCTTTCACTGTCACCATGACAACGCTTTTGATAATGTGGATGAGATGGAGAGGAAAATTCCAGTGAGTGACAGCTGTTACTTATTTTCTTTTTGTGTTTTCCCTAAAGCAATAATTTATTATATTTTGGGAAACATGCTTCGATGGTTTCTAGGGAAGAGTTAAATGAGAAGATTAACATCACTCTGATATCTGTCTGTTAAATATAAGACTACATCCACCATCTGGTTAGCGACGTGTGCCTGGCCTTTCTGTGGTTGGGGCCCCTCTTTTCGGAGTTTGCATGTTCTCCCTGTGTCTGCGTGGGTTTCCTCTTTGTGCTCCCACAGTAGGGATTGGCTCCAAATCGCTGTGACCCTCCAAAGAACAAGCGGGTATAGAAAATGGATGGAAATACTCGTATGTGTAAAAACAACAATTCACCATTATACAAGGCCAGACTATTTCTCAAGCAGTTGCCAGGCAACCAGCAGAGACTGTAGGAAGTTTGTGCTCCCAGGCAGCTACTTTACATTTCAAGGCGGAAAGTAAAAGACTGGATAGGCTCCAAAATCAACGCAGACAGGTTCTGTTTATGGTCTAACAACATTATGGAGAGGATCCCTAGATAGATAGACCAGACCAGTTATACCAGAAACAGCGTTATGTTTGCCAGATCAGAAACCGCTATTGCTAGCCACAAGACCCCCTAGAAAACAACCGTAATTTTACCTTGTAGATCATCATAACATCGTAACTTCACTGAAAGTGGACAGAAACAAAATAAAACCCACCAAAACCTTCTTGTTAGTCTTTCCACTGTTCCAACAATCACCAACTCTGCTTTGGTCAAAATAAATCCTTAAATTCACTGACGTAGATCAGGAAAACAGTCGCTATCTTCACATGCACTAACAATGCACACGTGGCCAACCCCACTTTGTAAACAAACCACAGACAGGATAGCAACACAGGCAAAGGGAGTGTGACGCCATTTGTTCAAGACACAATTACACAATATCTTTACATAGCAAATGGTTGTTTGCTGCTATAGTAATGTTTTAAATCTCATATATACATATAACATTAACAGGTGCAGTAGGTAACTTTTATAAGAAATTACTTTATTTTCATATTTGCTGAAACTTCCTGACAGTAGTTGTACAGACACTTTGGTAATGAGACTCAACAATTAACTATCTTCAAGCCAAAAACCAAAATGTCCATATTTGATGACTTGGGAATAACTACTGTTGGGATATAGTGAAATTTTTCACTAGATTTACTAAATATGACAACATGTTCTTTAAAAAAAAGTTACCTGGTGCCGACCTAAGTTTTGGCTAATGTTTAAAATGTTTTCTCTTTAATGTTCATTTTACTTAAGATTTATACACACTCTAAAGAAAACATGAATGACCTACTGATGTCCATCCTCTCACCAGTTCTGTGAGTTCATGAGCCTCTGCTGCATCGTGCATCTGTCCGGGAGCGTGGTCCGGATCCTGCTGGACTACGTCAGCCACGTCCACATCTGCTCCAAACTCAGACTCATCTTGGAGAAGCAGACAGAGTGGCCCGAAATATGTGACATCCTCAGTGAGTTTATCCATGATGATGAATGTTATAGCAGAGGTGCACTGCCTCACCTGAGATAAAGACCGCCACTTACATCTGAAGAAATGATCCCACACTAATGAAATGAAACAAACCGAACAAACAGGCATCACATTGCAAATGCCAGTATCAGTTGATCAATGGCTGCTGCTTCTGAGCTATTTTTGCATTGCCAATAATGTTCTGTCTGTCTTTTGATCCAGAAGGCAGTTTTTCAACAACTACAGACTAGCATGATATTTAAACCGGCACTCTCTTGAGTATATTGGGTTTTTAGAGCTTTTTCTCTGAAAACAGCTGCCTGGTGTGGCTGAAGAAAGTGAACAATAAAGTTGGAGACTGGGCAGCTAAACTATGAGATGAAACTCACTATAAAGATCCATAAAGTAAAGGAGAACTACAGATTCAGTGGCTAATTCTCTGTAGTGTCCGTGTTACAAGCAAAGCAAAGTCTCTCACCTTGTCACATGATACATATTTATTATAAAAAATATCGATTATCACTGCTTTTAAGTTGATATCAATGCTCCCTAGAGGATCATTCCTAATGGTTTTTATCACCCCTTGGCCTCTTCTCTTGTAAAATATCAAATTCTGTAGCTCAGTTTTTAATTACTGTCCTGATCATATTCCTGCTCTCCAGAGAATGAATCCTTTATATTTTCATGACTCCCTGATCCTTCCTCTAGCGCCATCCTCAGGACAAAGTTTATATTTTAGCTCCACTACTGCTAAGACTCTTAGATCGTCATTATGTTGTTTGTTTTGTTGAACATCTTACCATTGTGGTTGTAATGATCACTGCAGCCTCAAGGGGGCACTAGCAGCACTGTGCGTTTTTTAGATTTCTCTCTTTCCTAATTCTTTCCTCTTGTCTCTCCTCCGTATAATTGTTTTTCATTATTTCAGTTGTACGTGTCATTACAGTATGTAAATGTACAATTACACTTTTATCTCAACCTTGCTCTCCAGGCAGTGCTCGCTCCCTCAGACACCTCTGCAGACTGGAGATCAGGAGGCGTCTGACCCTGAAGAGACTCAACAACCCTGAAATCATGAACTCGTGTTTCCCCCCCAGATTGAAGAACTTCATACTGTACCAGGAGCTCGACCTCTACAGTCAGGACCCTGAACATACCATGTAAAGACATGTGGATTTTCTCTGCAAGAGTCCTCCTTGTTTTGAAAGGATGTAGCTATTTTATTAAGCTTTGGTTTGGATAAGCACAATACTGTATTTTTATATTTTTGCCCTTTTATAAGATAAGACAGCTGAAGATAGACGAGAAAGGGGGTAGAGAGCGAGAGAAGGGATGACACGCAGCAAAGGGCCACAGGTTGTATTTGAAAACCTATTATTAATTATGTTAAATTATTAATGATTATGTTCTTTTACAATGTAAATAGTCAGTATATGAACTGTCAGGCAAAACATTTACAATTCTCTAAACTAATAGCATGTTACTGAGCGTCAGTGTTTTGTAGTAAAAAGGCAAAAACATGCAAAACAAAGCTCTTCTGACTGAAGTGCAAATTTTAAGCTGACAGTAAAGTCTTAATATGGCCATCAACACACTAATCAAAAGAGAGGTCAAAGGTCAGAGCTGTAAATCTGCAGCAGATGGAGAAAAGGTTAAGCAGCCGTCAGTCATTTCACTCATTATTATTTCAACAGGTTCTCATCGATTTGTTGTCTAACAGCATTTGAGCTCACGGCGGACGATCCCCTCTGTAGTTAAAACGTTGTTGCTGTCTGATGAATCATAATGACACAATAAATATTCATACAACAGTCTGGCTCATTGTAGTTTGCCATTAACTGTGGAAAATGTTTGCAGAGTGACATTACACTCCATTAGGTGCTGTGGAACGCATGTTAAATACACTGGAACAGGTGACACCTATAAATAGCGCTTTGGAGTGTGTGTGTTAGTGTGTGTGACGGTGGGGGAGGGCCGGTGGGGGGGGAGTTCAGCTATGAAACAAACACTGTGCTGCTGCTTCGTCTTATGACTCCAACACTGACACATTTCTCAGGTGAGAATGATAAAATGTAGGGTTTTTTATATTTCCAGTGTATGTTGCAAGTTCTCCTATACAGAATGATGTGAAATTGTTAAGACTATGTATTTCTGCAGTGCCTGGATCACCAATGTTGTATCTCAGGGGTTCCCAAGCTTTCGCAACTTAAGGCCCACTTCTGTGGGTTGTAAAAAACAAACTGATCTGTAAATGTGTGCTATGCCACTGTCAGCTGTATTGGCAAAAATAAATGTATCGTATAGCAACGTAGCTTTTAAATGAGTTGTTAATGGCTTTCTAACCTTGACCTTGCCAGGTGGTTTGTTACACAGAACCAAGTGATCGTTAGAAACTGTTTGGAAAGGGCCAGGCACCTTAAAAAAATACGGTCGAACTTCAACCAATCGGATCAGCCAGCATGTAACATAGACAAACTCTCACCAAAGGCTGTTGGGAGGAATGCAAAAACAGTCTTTAAAATATACTCTCCAGTTCTGATATAACTGACGCTAGCAGCTTCTATGCTAACCACTTTAGCAGCCCACCCAAGTAGCTGCCAGTACTTCCTCGAAAGAGGCCAGTTGGTCCGGTACCATGTAGTTTGGCCGAAGAACTTACATTGGTTTGGCCACAGCCGGATACATTGAAGCCTGTCCCCTTTCCTTAGGAATATTCTAAGAAAAATATTCTTTTTGCTTCCCAACACATCCCAGGTGCTTTGTGTTTAAGTGTCTCTGGAGCTCCGACGGTTTTTGTGGCTGATTTGACAAGGGTCATATTTCCTCACCTCATGCTTTTTAGCTTTTACTGACACACCGCACTTGTGGGAACATTAACTAGCTAACAGTGACAAAACACGTTTGTCTGTACCTGAGGATGTGTCTGGATTTTGGTGATGTTCAAATGTAACTGGTCACTGATATTATGCATTTTAATTATTGAGCACATTTAAATAACTAGCTTTGGAAATTACCTTTTTTTATTTTAAGCTAAGTACTACTTGTCAGTACCAATGCCTCCACGTCCCACTTGTTATAATATATAATAATAATAATTGTATCTAATCAAGAAGGTAAGGGGCAAAGTGAAAATAGAGCTGATAGTATAAACAATTACAAGCTCAAGAATATAGAGCCAGAACAGTCTCATAATGAATAAATGCACACAGAAATGAATAAATGAACGAAAAAGGACTCACAAATGTATTTGGGGAGTTGTATATATATATATGACTCGATACACAAATGCATTTTCAATGCACACACAAATATGCTTCAATCCATATATAAGTAAAAAAAAAATCACATATACAAATAAGATTTGTAAACATATTTGTGATGCGCACACAAATATTTCTTGTTTTAAATATGTGCAATAAAAATTCACAAATGTACAATTCGTCAGGTAATAGCAATTTTCATCAAATACATATTTGGAAGTTGTTACATTGATATATGAATTGTCAAACGCGCATTTGTCTTAATTTGTAAACCTCCCTGCATTTGTGTGTGGAATTTTGAGACTCTTCTAGCGTGACTCCGATACACATTTTTCTACAAGGGTGTCGTCTGCAGCCAATCAGATGTCTCAGTCCTTTACAGCCAATCACATGAGTGCCTCACGAAAAAAGGAAACATGGCATCTGGAAGCGGCAACCGCGACAATCCTTTTTTTGTTGCCGTCTCCTCTGGTCCATCTAGATTATGATCTAGATCCATATCATTCGTTCATATCATCATCATATCCATTGCGCGCTGTAATGACGTCAGTTAAAAACCCCTCATGGGGAGGCACTCATGTGATTGGCTGTAAAGGAGTGAGACATCTGATTGGCTGCAGACGACCCTTGTAGAAAAAATGCATTTGTGTATCGGAGTCACGCTGCACTGAGACAAATGCAGGTTTGACAATTCATAAATCAATGTAACAACTTCCAAATACGTATTTAATGAAAATTGCAAATACCTGACGATTTGTACATTTGTGAATTTTTATTGCACATATTTAAAACAAGAAATATTTGTGTACGCATCACAAATATGTTTACAAATCTTATTTCTATGTTAATTTTTTTTTTACTTATATATGGATTGAAGCATATTTGTGTGTGCATTGAAAATGCATTTGTGTATCGAGTCATATATATACAACTCCCCAAATACATTTGTGAGTCCTTTTTCGTGCATTTATTCATTTCTGTGTGCATTTATTCATTATGAGACTGTTCTGGCTCCATACAAGAAAGACAAAGCAGATGGAGCAGTGGAATCAATACTACTTTCAGAAGCAAAGTAAATTCATGCAGAACTTCAAGTCAAGTCTTAATTTGTCTCTTAATTTGAATAAACTGTGTGAGGTTTGTGATTAACAGATTATTACCCAGAGAGTTTTCAAGTATTTAGTTTGAGTGTCGAGATTAGGTTTATTTTTATCAGGAATTAATGTAATTGCTTATGCTGTTAAAAACTGTAGTGTGTTTGAAGTTGTGTCTTTGTGTACCTGTATCTGTATGATGTCAGAAGGATGGATGCAGCTGATGAAATGGATGAAGATGAACTTCTGGACTTTGATGTTCAGATGAGCATACAGGAGTCGTGTCAGAGAGGACATCTAACAGGATCAAGGTGGTACAGAAACATAAACACCTTCACCATCCATACCAAAGTGTCATATGTTGCATTTCTCATAAGTGTACCTTTATTTTCCTGTTAGTACATTCAGGAGTGAAGCTCTGAGGCTTGTGGAGGCCATTAAACAAGGTAAAAAGTCCAAGTCTAATGGGTAATGTAGTCCTAAATAAGAAGACAAACAAGCATTAAAATGTAGGATTTAGTGGCATCTATTGGTAAAATTGCAGATTGCCTGATCAACAAAAAGTTTTAAATAAACCCTCCTAACTGTCTATTCAGGTGACATGTTGGCACTGCAGGAGCTCTGTGACTTCCCAGCAGCCTTCAGTCAGGTGGATGAGTGTAGCTGGTATCCTCTGCACAGGGCAGCGGTCCAACCACTGGTGCTAGTCCTGGAGACGGTGCTGTACGGTGGGTAAGAGGTCCGAACTTATTACACATGACAGTCAGACAGTGAAGAGAACTGCCTCAGTGCACTTCATTGTGCATTTAACAACTGTTGTTTATGGAGTGACAGTGACTGCTGATTGTCCTTCTAGTGCTGAATTCAGTGAGAGAATGTATAACTCTTGTTGTGTGCTTCAGCGTCTTTCAATCTGACGCTGGAGGAAAAGACCTCAGACGGTGAGACCTTCCTGACTTTAGCAGTGGGAGCTGGTTTGGTGAAAAACGTGAAGATGCTACTGGATCACGGAGCTTCTCCTCACACTACCAACGGCAAGAGTGAATCCCCTCTGCTTTTAGGTCAGAACAATGCCCCACCAACACTTCCTTTTGGTATATTCTATCTTTCACAGCAGACAAATAGTGATGCCTGATAGAAAGCTTTTGTTCATCCTCGTCATCAGTTCCTTATCCTCTTGTGTCCTCCCTGCAGCAGTCAGAGCCGGATGTTATGAAATGGTTTCCGTTCTAATAGCTGGAGGAGCTCGGGTGGAGCAGGTGTGTCAGAAGAAGTGGACAGCCATGCATGAGGCCTCCAGGGCTGGCTGTGTTCATGTTGTGGAGCTCCTGTTGCAGAACGGAGGTCAGGTTTCAGAGACTGACCAGCATGGAGTGACTCCTCTGGGCATTGCTGCGGAATACAGCCACCCTGATGTCCTGGAGCTTCTAATCCAACACGGTGAACCCCTTATACCACACACTTTCTTATGTTTTTATGTTAATAATGCATCAAATGACTGTGCCATTTTGAAAGGGATTACTTGTAGTTTTGATCCCACAGAGAACTACTCTGTACTCTGCAGCGTTACAGAGATCTTTTGCCTCTTTTAGCTCCTAGTTTTGGTTTTACTTCAGATTTAATGGCTGGTTCAGTCTCAATGTGTCCAGCAGCAGCTGTTTTCATTAAATAAGCTCTGATAGACCCACTGCCCACTACCTGCTCGGCACCAAACAGCAGACAGACAAAGTTAGAAACTAGCTAAAATACCTTCATCATAAATCCCACACACTGGTCCTTTAAATGTGTCATTATCTTGACTGCAGGCCTTTGTACTTAATAGTCTAACTGTCATTACAATAATTTTGTCAAACTTCAGTGACAGTGTCTTTTGTTGGTTGTGACAAGTAAACAGGTTTTCAAATTAAATCAAATCAAATGTTATTTTAACTGAGCAACTTAAAATATGGATAAAATATCCAAATTATGTTTTGTAGCCAATTATTCTGGATAGAAAAGTCCAATATTTACCTCATTGTGTGCCATGATAGTTTGTGTGGATAAAAACTTTAGAGAAAGAACTGATTGTGAATCAGTTCCTTAATGTCCTTATTATTTGTTGACTAAAAACTGACACTGTTTTCTGTGTGACCAAAAGTTATGGCAGAAAAAGGGATGCTGGATGATGATTTTTTTGTTGAATTTCCATAATGTTCTTGAACAGATGGTCAAAATCTGTGCAGCACACATCAAGATATCTTGACTTTTTGTCCCTGCCAAGCTCCAAAAACCCTGGATGCTATTATACCATAATGCTAATCAATATCTTACATTAGACCCTCCCTGCCTGGTACATGCTTGGACAGATGTCTTTTAAACTCCACATCAGCTTGTAACACAAACTTTCAATCATAAATTAGTTGACTACAAGCCAAAGATTATATAACTATATTTTCTTAGCCTTGAAAGAGCCATAGAAGACATTATATAATAGTTTCCACAGGCAGAGTAGGACCAATAATGATGAGTAAATTGATCTTCATGTGTAATTGGTGGAATGCTACTTTAAGTAACAGATTCCAAAGTGATAAAATCATTTAGTGCCCATACAGGTTATTGCTAAAACCATCTTTATGTTTGTGCTCCTGCTCCAAAATTATTATTTTCTGCTTTTACATTAAGGTGCTGATGTAAACGCCCAGGCACCAAATGGTGACAGCGTCCTGTACGATGCAGCAGGTTCGGGGAATCCAGACTGTATTGACATCCTGCTGCAGCACGGAGCCAACCCCAACATCCGCAACCTCAGCTCCCAGCTGCCCATCCACCACGCCGCATACGAAGGACACTACCTGTGAGTAGGCCAATGTTATATAAACCTGATGGACTTTCCGATAGTTCAGGAACTGTCAGGGAGCAGTTTGCAGTGCTTAATCTCTTAAGTCTCTGCAACAATGCTGCAGCAACTACAACTTGTGTGCAGTCTCATTCAAAAAAGGAGGCACTGTGTGTCACTAGTATTTCCTGTTGTTTTATTAATCAGCCCCCCATCATTTTATCAAATTTTGTGCAGAAGCTTCCAGAGCCATAAAAGGTTTTGTTCAACTTTTTCCAAATGCAGTAGTACTCCCCAAGAACTGTAAATAGTCTTTGATGTGAAAAACCAGTAGTGTAGTGTAGTTCTTTTCCTGAATAACATGTATCATTTCTTCAAGTTCAATCAGCGACATCTGAGATATTTTGCATCATAAATGGACAGGTTTGACCCACATCCTCCAAGAAAAGTACTAGTACTAGTAAGTCCCATGTTAGGACCCAGCTGTCATGTAGGTTAGTTTCTGATGATTCAGTTCTTATAGAATAATCTATGCATTCTCTCCATCAGAGCTTTGAGGATTTTGATCCCGATCACCACTAGACGGGCCCTGCGGCTGTCTGGCCACAGCCCGGTCCACTCCGCTGCTGACGGAGGCCATGTCCACTGCCTGGAGCTCTTGCTGCAGAAAGGTTTCGATGTCAACGCGCTGTTAGCTCCTTACATCTCAGAAAATTATGGAGACATGAGGAGAAGCCCTCTGTACTTTGCTGTCTCCAACGGGGACGCAACCTCCACTGAGATTCTGCTGAAGTGGGGAGCCAAACCAGACCTGGACTCACTGCGCTGCCTCCTAGTGGCGGTCAGGTCTGGCCGCTACGAGATCGTGAAGCAGCTGCTGGCGGCCAAGGCAGACGTGAACTGTTACTTTACGGTGGTGAACGACACAGTGTTTCCCACGGCGCTGCAGTACTGTCTGAAGGACGAGGTGATGATGAGGCTGCTGCTCAACAATGGCTATAATGCTGAGAAGTGTTTCTGTTGTAACCATGACGACGACTGGGAGGAACTGAGTGAGTCTGATTACTCGCAGCATCAGGAGGAAAAAGTTGCAGTGAGTTTTTCTCTTCTCTGTACAAGTAATTATTAAAATAATGTTTCAAAGTACAAAACTTTACCTTACAGAATGCAGTTTCTATTATTACCATGAATCTATTCAAGTTGCAAACAAAGACTACACAGTGAAAATGCATTTAATCATATAAATTAATAATCAGAGTTGAAATAATACCGATCAGCAGACAATCTGCAAGTATTTTGATAATCTATTAATTTCTGAGTCATCTATCAAGCAAAACTGCCAAACATTTGTTGGTTCCAGCTTCTTAGATACAAGGATTTGTTACATTTCTTTATCTTATATCAAACTAAATTTAAGTTTAAGTTAAGCTCAGTTGGTCAGACAAAACAAAGCATCTAAATATGTCACAAAATTATGAACTTTACTTTAGCAGCCACTAAAACTGTGGTGTTTCTGCCTTCTCAGCGAACAAAAGGTGATCATACATCTTTGAGTTATAACTATTGAAAATGTTGAAATATTTGTTATTGGGTAATAAGGGGATTTGATTCTGGATTTGAAGTTCTATAAAACTCCAGTCCTAACCTGATCTTACAAGGAATTCTTACATCAGCAAATGTGCATGAAAGCTCATTTTTGTTTTTGGGAACAGTCGTTGTACAAAATACTCTTAACTCAAGGTCCTCTTAGCTTTTTTTTTTAGATTTCCACTGCATTGTACATTGAAATTGAATCATCAAAATAATGTCTGATATGTACAAAACAGAGCAAACCACATGTCTCCACCTGTTTTTAAGGGCTATCTATCTATGGGGTTTGGGGATGTATTTGTCAAATACGTGTAAATTTTGACATGTTTTTACAAAACTTGTTAAATTGCTCTAATTTTAAATCTTTTCATTATTACTTTATTGCAGATATCTCCTATACAGTTGTGTCTAAACAGTATAACTACCTCTGTGTCTGTGTTCAATGTCATTACTTTGTCCAGTTTTGTGATTTCGTCAGCGTCTCTTGGCTGGCCAACCTGGTGGGCAGGGTCGTGTCGATCCTCCTCGACTATGTCGGCCCGGTTTCTCTCTGTGGCAAACTAACAAAGATCCTGAAAAAACACAAGGAATGGCCTCACATTCACGGGACCACAAGTGAGTTAACTGTGTGGTGAAAAGAATGAGATTAAAGAGGTGCACATTAGAACCAGGAGGCGTACCTGCTCTTCCTGCTTTATTGGTACAACATGTCCTCAAAACCTCTCTGTGATCCAGGTAACCCTCGCTCCCTGTGTCACCTGAGCAGAGTGGTCATCAGAAAACACCTAAGCTGCAGTGGTCTGATGTCCGTCCAGCTGCCCAACAGACTAAAGGACTACCTGTTGTTCAAAGAGAACGACCTGTACGCCAAAATCATCTGCAGGGAGGACTGAGAGGACGATGATTTCTATCTTATCTACTGAGTCTTAAATGACAGTAATGACTTTGTGTTTGTTTCTTTTTTTCCTTTTGTGGGTAATGTAACTGGGCCTGTATTTGTCAAACATCTAAGAATTACACTTAAGAATGCCCTAAAGAGCCAACATTGGAGTAAAGGAGACTGAGCAATAATTTTACATTTGGGTGTAAAAATAACCTTTAAGAGCAACTTTAAAGCTATCACATGGTGCATCACATGTGTGCTTTGAGCAGTAACAGCCAAACAGAGACAAGTGGCGTGTCCTATGTGACAGACTCAGTCTAAGCTGGTTTTTAGTGTGTTCACACTGGAAAAGTAACACATTTAATTAAGCATTCTCAAACCAAACATAGTGCAAACTAAATATAGTGGATTTTTGAGTATGCTGTTAATGGACACCATTCTCCTACAATGCATTGCCGGGCGGCTGTGGCTCAGAGGCAGAGCGGGTCTAACCTAACACTAAAACTAACCCACTAATCGAAAGGTTGTTAGTTCGATCCTCGGCTCCTCCTGCCACATGTCGAGGTATCCTTGAGCAAGATACTGAACCCCAGATTGCTCCCTATGCTGTGGATTGGTGTGTGAATGTGTATGAATGAGTTAGTTTCTGTTCGATGGGCTTTGTGTGTGAAAGGGTGAATGTGGCACGTAGTGTAGAGGTGTTTTACAAGAAAGATGCTATACAAGTACAGGTCCATTTACCATTTACCATTACCACAAAGCAAATGGAGGATCTGCTGACAGCAGAAAAAAAAAAAAAATGGTGGTTGAGGATAAAACAGCTTCTGGAGAGTCAGTGTTAGCATAACTGTTCTTAGCACACCTGATAAATGCAAAAACAAAACAAAACAAGTTGTTTAACATCCCAAAAAATCTTTGAATCAAATCAATTAAATAATGGACTACCCTATTCTGAAATATTCATATTGCCTCAGGTCATGTATTATTCTCTGTGACCAATGATATTTTATACATTTAAGCTTCTCAGACTGCAGCCGACCAACTTCAGACACATCTGGTGCTCTCTCAAATTTAAGATTTTATTTCTTAAATAGGTGAGGATTTAGTTGCATCTTTCATCTTTTCAGAAGTTTGAGATTGCAACTAACTGAACACTGCTCATGTTTGTATTTGACAACCTGGGAATGAGAACGGGCAGTGAAGTGTGTAGGAGAAACTATGGTGGCTGTGAAACTCGCAAAAAATGTGAAAGTCCCTATTTACAGTCAGTGTTTGGTTTGTCCCTTCTGGGCTGCTGTAGAAAGATGGCGGTTCAACATGGGGGACTCCATGGAAGGCAACCCATGGCTCATTCTAAGGTAATGAAAACACAATGATATATTCAGGTAATTATACACTAATGGAAACATACCTATGAATATAAGATTCCATTTCTGCCAACAGATCCTCCTAAATGTTACACACTGGACTTTTAGGTTTGCGAGCAATAGTAAAAGATTTGTAGTTAAAGCTTCTTTTAAATTTATGAGTTTGATGAATACAGGCCCAGATCTGTAACTGTGACTGTAAATGTTTTTTTTAACCCTGTTTCAAAGGGGCATTAACTAAGATTCTTTTTGTCCTGGCTGTTGTACAAAATAACCATAAAATATCTGCAGTTAGTTACTGATCAATCATTCATCACTGAGTGATGCACTCTAGTATCCTGGTTATGAACAGGTTTTTAGAGTATTCTAGTAAAGTTTTGTGCATTTAAACAGCTTATTCTGGTTTCAGAAACCTGGATACTGTGGCATGCAAACACCAGGTTTCTGAAAATTCTCTGTTGGTACAGATAGTGAGACATCAAAACACAGCTGCAGGCAGACAATCAAAAACCTGGATACTTTTATGACCATGTTTACAGGGATATAAATAACCAACACCATATCCCCAATACGATCAAAAACAGCATGAGACTCAAAACCAGGACGCTTGCATGCATGTGAACACAATGACTGTGTCAGATCACTCAGATTTCTGGGACTCAAGTGTTGGAGGAAGGAGCCTCTTTGCTGTAACTTTGTGAAAATATAACAGACCAGGTGATGTTTAGACTGTAAGCAGATTGGGCTCTTACATACTGTAAATGATCAAATAAAAACCAGAATGTAAATAATGTTCAGGATAAAAGTAAAACTTACTCTGTGCACAGAGGTTTCACATTAAAAGCCTTCCAGTGGCTCAAAGGGCATACTTCCTACTGTCCCTGGTAGACCTTTAAAAGAGTGCACCACTGATTCAGCATTACACATAAAATTGTCGTACTCACAATGGACAGTAAAAAAAACTAAAAATGTAGCCTTGGTCGCCAGCCTGAAGCAGAGAAGGGGCGGCCACAGAGATGTGGTTAGCTAACTTCTTTCTGGCTTCACACACTCAAATTTGTTCAATTTTAAACTTTAAACTGATGCTGACACAAATAACATCACTTGAATTTTTCACATATGCAGTAATACTCCCCAAGAGATGTAGGCCTACTTAGACTCTAATGTGTAGAATTGTTGAGTTTCATTAACAGTGACTGAAAAATCAGCAAAGGAGAAGGGATGAATCAGAGAATGAAAATAGAAAAGTGTTAAACAGAGAAAGTGTTTTTAGCAGAGTGGGGAGAATGAAATGACTTTGTTGTAATGATGGAATTAGTGCTCAGTAAATGTACAATATACCAAATTTATCGAGATACACACAGGGAACTGTTATGTTTGTATCAAATTAGAAATAAAGACCTGTTTCTAATAAGCCTGTTTCAAATAAAGGCCTGGTTCTCCTGCAGTGGAGGTAAATAAAGTCCTGGCTACTATTTGAGAATTATCAGTATTGAGCAATAGGTTTCTACTGCCACATATCCTACAGTTGGAAATACATTTGTACTGTAATTTATTAAACTTTTGTGTTATTATGATTATGACATTGCCTGGGAATCATGAATGTCTGTACACAATTTTGGGCCAGTTCATTTGTTCAGTGTGGAAAGACCTGGCTGCGCAGCTTCGACTCGTCTGTCGCAGGAAACAATGACGGCTTGTCAGGTCACACACAATCTTGCATTCGTCTAAACAGTACACTAAAATATGTTTCTGAAACGATTTTAGATGAGAAATAAGCAAAACAGTAACAGAATCTTGCTTCATATCTGATCAGAACTGCCTAGTTTGACATTGAGAATGACCTGTCAATCACAAGGTAGCCACGCCCAAAAGCATACGCTGCTTTACTCTAAATTGGACCAAAATTTACTAAATGAACAGAAAAAATGTTTACTGAGCTAATAAATCAAGTGAGAAGCGTGGTATCAGTGTTTTATTGCAGCTGATGGTGCTCCACCTGCTGGCCATTACATAGAATGAAGGTTTAAGACACTTCCACGTTGGCTTCACTTCACAGACTCGGAAGCTCTCTCCATTATATAAACTGACAACCTAGCGGCCATTAGAAGAGCTGCAACTGAACAAACTTCAGCCGTTTCCGACTGCATTGAACTAAAAGCATACACCGACTGTGAACACAGTGAAGAGGTGTGCTTCCTCTGGTAGACAGACAGTGAAAACAGATCGACTCTAAATTTAACCTTCTGACCTGCAGAACAAATAACAACAACAACATGGCTCCACATTCTGGCAGGTCACCCGAGAACCTGATAACAGGAGGAGGTCACGTTGTTTTGAACGACCTCCAAACTGTTGACACCAGCTGGAAATGTGAGGTGTCTGTGACCAACAGGTGTGTTAATGTGCTAAAACAAAGCAAACCACATACAGATTGAAGTGAGACAATTAAACAAGCTGTATTTATCATATCACAGGATATGGTGACATAACACCCCATCCAGCAGCCATATTGGAGGACTTCTGCTCTGTGAACTGCTGATTGTGTTTATGTGTTTAAATAAACTGAACAAAAGTTAAAGCAGCAATAATTTCAAATTTTCACTCTCCTTTCAGCTCTAGTTTGGTCTCCTGAGAAATATACCTTTCTCTTTAGCAGCTAGATGTTCCACTTTCTTCACCAGCTGGTCTCTTAGTCTGTCTGCTGTTTGGTGCTGAGCAGGTAGTGTGCAATGGGTTTATAAGAGCTTGAAAATAGCTGCCTGCTGCTGGAGACTGAACCATATTGTAAATGTAAGACTAGGAGATAAAAGAGGCTAAAAAGGAGCTGAAAAGTTGATGGCAATTCTCTGTGCAATCATCATGAGCGATACCTTTTACATAACACATCGTCCTTTGATCCATTGTTAAAATACAAATATTGTTTAATGCAGATTTAAATCTTTTCAGTGATTATTTCATCTCTCATCCATCAAACTGGTATTGTCTTGTTTCCATTAGGTACAAAAAAATACCCAAACCATACAAGATCTCTGTTCACACATCTGGGACTATGAAGCTCTAGAAATTATGAAGCTCAAGAGTGTCAAGTGTCTCATTGGAGAGTAGAAATAAACTGAAAACAACGGCTTCCTGGAAATTAATCTTAAAGCTGATATATGATTAGGAAAAAGTCAGAAAATGATATCCCGTGTTATATTTTGGATTAAACACGCAGCAATCACCAGTTTGTGCATTTGTTTTGTAACTGAACCTGTTTCTATTCTCAGTCTGGAGTGCACAGCTGGATGACAGCAACAATCCAGTCAAAGGTCACATTTACAGCAGATTTAGGAGAGTGGTGTTATGTCACGGAGTCTTTTCACTTCATGTAATGTGATCTGATTGCCAAGCAGCTTGTTAAACGTGCTCAGTGATGGAGCTCTGATAGTTGTCTTGGCAACCAAACAACAAACCTTAAGACTGAGCGTTATTCCTACACATCCGTACAAATGTTACGTATGTGACAAGTACAGGGTATACACAATACTGAAAACATCTATGCAATATGATCGGATTCAACAGCCCAGTTAAATACAAATTGGGTGTAAATTTATATCAGCCATAATAACATTGTTCTCACCAAGTTAATATTTGAAATTAACAAACAAGTAGTCAGATGGAGCGGGTCAAGAAACACGAGCAGTCAAACAATCACACAGTTTAGAGACAAACTTCAGACATTCAAAACGTGGTGTGAACCTGGAACTTGTCTTTACCCAAATTGGCTCACATTTGCGTCCCCAAAATCTGGCTGGAGTCCTGTGCTGCCTCTGTCCAATCTCATTGTGGTGAGTTCATTCTTGACCTTGGACACAGCAGTTGATAAATCTCAACTAAAGGTCCATTTAGTAGCTGTTTTGGAGCTCTCAATCATATCACACAATCTTCAATAGGACTTCTTTGGAGTAGTTGAAGGACTTATCATTCATGTTGGCTTGAAAGCTTACTGTCAAAGTTTTTTTTTACTAAATAGATTTTAAGGTGCTTTCTGTCTTGTTCTTTAGTTTTTTTTATATTATATATAATTATATAATTATTTTATCTCTTTAGTTATATTAATAAGTTTTGGACTTGATATAACTTGATATGATTGTGGAGATAAAAACCAGTCACAGTTTTGTTTTCATTCCACCAAATGTCCATACGAAAGTCTTACAAATCAATCTGTCCTGTCTTGGCGTTGTTGTGTTCTGGTGTAAACACCATCAGTCCTCCTCAGTGCCAGCCTGAGCTGTACTGTACATAATCCTACCATCCTCAGGGAGAGCAAGTGTTTCCCTGACAACACCACAACCATGGCGTGTTTCTGTGTCCTGGCTCGTTGCAAGGCTGTAGAGCTTTATCTCTGATGTCTCCCCACATCGTTTTGTTCCCCTCGTTTCTTTTGAGGCACGAATCGCTGATGAGCTCTCAGCACAGGCCACTCAGAGGGCTCACATTCCTGCAGTAAGCCTATCTCATTGACCCCCCCACCCAACACCCTAAAAAAAGACAGGACGATCAGCGGTATGGAGGCCCACCCCCTTTCTCTCTGTCAGGCTCCTCTGGCAGCTGGGACCAGTAGGTGAATGAGGACTCTGATTTGCCACCAGTCATCCACGGCATCCCTGATCTGAAGGAATCTGATGGAGAACAAGTCAACAGGCAAAAGGAGATTCAAGCAGGGAAGTTAGGGAAGATTTCTTCAAGTACACAAGGAGATAAAAGTGCAAGAAGAAGAGTTAAAGATAGAGATTTAAGTGTGCATAGAGTCCTAAAACGAGCAGAGAATCATGAGTACCTTTGGGTACAGCAGGGAGCTAAAGAAGTACGAGGAAGTGGACGAAGACGAGCTGCTGGCAACTCTGTCCTCTGAGGAACTCCAGGAGCTGGAGAGGGAGCTGGCCGACCTTGATGACAACATCCCCATCGGCCTGAGACAGAAAGACCAGACTGCCAAAACTCCAACGGGGACCTTCGACAGGGACTCTTTGCTGAAATACTGGGAGGACGAGAACAAGAAGCTGGTGCAGGACGAGAGGATGGAGTCCAATGGCAGACAGGTGAGAGTGGACATCAATACTCGGCCTGCAAGTTTTCTATAACACACCTAAAAGACCATAACACCATGTTTTAACTACAGAGCAAGTATACCTTTTGGTTCCATAAAGGACCTTAGATTTTAGAAACTACCAAATTGAAATGATCCTTTTCACAACATCCATGTTTGTCTATTATCCTTGATTTTCCAAAAATAATATCTAAAAAAATAAACCTCTTCTACAGCTGACTTTCAGTTCATTGGTTTTACAGCCCCAAGAAGAGTTGCACCTGTGTCCCCATGATTTGCAACTTTGACAGAAAAAAAAAGTTGACTAAACATTGAATGTGATGGATTATCTGCTTGCAGGGAAGTCACTGCTGATTTTAATAGAAATTAACTAAAACTTAAAAGGAAGGATTTCACTCAAGATCTCTGAAAAGGTTACTGACAATAATGCAAAGAGATAGAAGTACCTTTGATAATTAACACCAGCACCAGAGTACACTTGAGCAATTTTAACCATTGGCACTGTTTAAATCAATTATTGTATTAAGAGGAACACTGTATGAAACTACAGTACAGTACACGGTAGTTCCTCGTACACACTTCCCAGCCCGCTCTCATTCCCAAGTCGTCTAATACGGATGTGAGCGGTGTTCAGTGTGTTGCAATCTGCAACTTCACCGCTAGATGTCACTAAATCCTACACACTGTTCCTTTAAGAAATGAACCAATGTGAGTGACAAGACTAAGCGGTCTCACTCTGACAAAATAAGACTAATCTGGATCAACGCCCTGACAGCACTTTTGGAAATATCCGAAAACAGATTCAGTTTCAGTTTGGGATTAAAGGAACATTACAACAATTTTTCACATGAAGATCAGTTTACTCGTAATGATTAGTCCTATTCAGCCTTTAAAAACAGTTGTTTGTCTTCTGTGGCTCTGAAGGAGAAAATAACCCTAATGATGAGCCAAGCCTATTACTTAAGCTACTGCGATGTCTAACCCAGGAGTGATATGATTGATGCACTTCGCTTTTACTTGATGTTACCTGTGTGTTGTGTTCTGTACAGAATTCACAGGCTGTTCTTTGGTTGCAGAATAACAATCACTTCCGCCGTGCATAAATGGGAACAAAGTAAATTTTCCAGTTTCCATAGAAAACCAAACTATCAGCTTATAGCATAACAAACAAACTTTAGCGCCACAGCGGTCAAAAACCCTTTGCCCTTCCGGGATCAAAACAGTTGAGAACAGTGACTTCCTACCTTTGTTCCTGAGCCCTTGACTGTAGCACGGCGAGACCCAGAGTACACACAGTAAATAACAGTTGTGCTTTGGTTATTTCAACAACAGATTTGGCTCTTACAGTGATGTCACTGGGGTCATCTCAGTTTTGGCTTACAAATTCATAACAGAAAGTTTTAAACTGGAGGTATGGAGTCTGAAAGACCTTCTAATAGGAGAGGCTATCCAGTTACACTGAGCTCAATACATACTAGGGAATAAAAGTCAAGAGTCCCTAGATGTTTATGTTCTATAATCTATAATCTATCATTTTAGATGCTTGTTTATTATGTGTTTAAACATAAACCCATTGATATAATATATAAACAAAAATGTAAAAAGCATCACATGTATATACTTTACCTAAATGTGTTGCTGGAAAACAGTCTAAAAATAAAGACTGTCAGAGAAATGCCAGCTTTAATGACTGTCAGTGTTGGAGAGGGTTCTTAATTAAAAGTCAGAGGCTGGAGAATGTCAGGGTTCGACCTAATTTTCTCTCCTGTTATCGTGCGCAGGAGGGACGCTCAGATAAGAGCAGAGGGGAGCGAGTGACTGTGACCGCCAGTGACGCCAGCAAGACTCCGGACCATGACAGGAAGAGGATTTCACAAAAGGGGAAGAAAGTGCAGAGTGTCTTTAGCAAAAAGGATGCAAAGGAAGATGAGGTGGAAAAGAAAGATCAGTGTAAAAAAGAGGCTCAGAACAGATGTAAATTTCCTCAGAAGAACGGTCTGTCGAAATGTTCGAGGAGTGAATCGGGGAGGACTGAAACCATAAACCAAAATCTGAATGCAACCACTGACAGAGCAAGTGGAAACCCGACAGTCATCGACAAAACTCTGGAGCAGATTCTGTGTGATGATCCCACAATGAGTGAAGTCAACCTCAACAACATCGAAGACATTTCCCAGGAAACCTTACTTCGTTTCGCTGAGGCCCTGTGCACAAACACTCACGTCCACATTTTTAGCCTTGCCAACACCCATGCTGATGACCGGGTTGCTTTTGCCATCTCCAAGATGCTCCGTGAAAACCAGTTTATCAGAAACTTGAACATAGAGTCCAACTTCGTGTCTGGCCAGGGTATCCTGGCTCTTCTGGCGGCGCTGCAGCACAACAGAACCCTGGTGGAGCTTCGCTTTCACAACCAGAGGCACATCTGCGGGGGGAAGGTGGAGATGGAGATGGTCCAGCTGCTGAGGGAAAACACCACTCTCCTCAAGCTCGGTTACCAGTTCGACCTACCGGGCCCGAGGATGACAGCGACCAGCATCCTGACGCGCAACCAAGACCAACAACGACAGAGGAGGCTCCAAGAGAAGACAGAACAGAGTCCTCCAGAGGTGTCAGCACAAGGTTCTGGTTCATCTGCAGAAAAAAGACCACCAAAGAAGCCGTCTCAAACTTCTAAAACTGTTGAAAATCAGAACAGAAATCATCCTCCTCCGTCTCTAGACCCGCCGACAAGGAAGATTGCTGACATGGTCAAACAGCACGAAGGCTCGAACAGTGTAAAGACTCAGTCAAACCAAAGGAAACCCAAGTCAAAGAAGCTCAAGAACGGTGCCAATGAAAAGGAGAGCGCAGATATTCTCAAAGATCTGAAAAACTCCTTGAAGCCGTCTCTGCAGAAGAGACGAGATGAATCATCACATCTGCCACCGCCGCAAAGGTCAAGCCGCGATGACCTGATGGCGGCAATTCGTGGGAGCAGCATCACATCCTTAAAAAGGGTAAGACTCCCTGTGAGTCCTCTCTGTCACTGACGGATCTATGTTTGATTTGATGGAATTTTGTTTTGCTTGAGTGAAAGCATCACAGACATAATTTAGCCTCCAAAAGCCATTAGACCCCCTCAGTGAGGACGCCTGCTGTGATCAGACGACAGCCTCTGTCACTCTGTGAATTCCTTGAATCTCTGTCAGGTTATAAATAGTTTGACTTCTTCACTGCTGTTTGATAAGACTGATGGCTCAGAGAGCTGCTGGGAAGAGAGAAAGCGTGCTGAAAACAACACAGCGTGTTAAGAGACACCAGAGAGCTTTAAACACAACGTAGTTGGTCCAAAGTGCTTTACGGGAAAATGAGGGACATTTATCGATATAATAATATTGCAAACAAAATGAGTTTCATGAAATTAATTTTGACCAAAAACTGCTTTTTAAATTTAAATATCATACCATTACAATATGATTGAACAGAAACTTCATAAAAATGATGCCCTGGGTACAAAAAGGAAACACTGCATCCCCGAAAAACAAATGCAAATTATGAAGTCAGGCAGCTCAAACCAGATCAAATGTTTCTTAACTCATGAAAACCTTCAATAGAGACAGATAATCAAACAGAGTGAAAGTGACAATTCCATTAAGAAAAGAAACAATCTGATCTTTGATCTTGTCTTTGATGGAAGGACAGATAAAAGATAAAACATACATCTAACTGTGTTCTGAAGCATGATGTCTGAATAAAGTTATTTCATAAACATCCACCCAGTCTTACATCAGCTGTAACTTAACATGTGTGATGTTTGTCGTTTCAGGTGGATCTGTCACAGGCCTGAACTCACCTGCTGATCACACTTGAACTCTTCTCACTTTGTATTGAAATATTTTATTTTTATTTCACACCAAATGTCACTTTTTAACAGCATCTTATTTAACTTGTCACACAGCTTAGCAGCAGACGGCATTTCTGTGTATTTCAGATTGTATTGTTGTATTTTGTCTACTGTGAATACTGATGTGTAGAGGAATAAAGTTTAAGATTGACTTAGTCTACATGTTCGTTGAAACTAAATGCATAAATACTTTTCTGAGAGATGTTTCCTGACACAATAATGGACAATTGTTTACAAAAGTGTTTTTCAAAACTACTGGCTAAATTTTGGTAATACATTTAGTAATATTGTTGCGAAAAATGCTGCTTTCTTAGAATTCATTATTTTTTGGGATTATTCATTTATGTAAAACCTCCAGTTTGCAAAGCTGGACGTTGATTGATAAAGCAGCAGCTTCTTTAATTAAAATGAAGAAGACCTGCAGGTTAGAGGCGTTGTTTTTGCAACTTTTGTTTGAGTGGCATTTTTCCTTTATTCGACAATGAGAGCAGAGGCACAGACAGGAAATGATGTTCAGAGGCTTATGACATGCATTGTGTTGTACCCATTAAGCCATCTGGATCTGGATTAAGGTTTTTATGAAATTGTAAATCCCACATCAGTTGGTGGTTTAAACAGATTCTCTTGTTACACACATCACCTCTTAAAGACATAATTACAGTTCATAGAGCAGCTTCCCGTGTTGGTGACCTGAGAGGAGGATCAGCTCACATAAAGACCGCTCACAGAGGGATTAAACTCGACTACAAACGTACACAGAGAGCTGTTATGTGAGCTGACTGCAGCTGCCGGTTACTGTCCATCAACACATACAATTGAATAGGGGAGGCCAGGGGCAATGGTAACAAGTTTTGATGTCTTTACTCCAAACCTCTTTAATGTAAGTAACTGTATCCTCCTTGTTAACAGCCATCAAATGCTTTTCAGCAATGTTTGAGTCACAATATTGAATCCCAATAGATATAGATAAAACAATATCCACTGAACAATTGATACCAGTTTAACCGTATGAATAATCACAATCAATATTAATAACCGTAATCAATCATTTACATATTTTTTCTTGTCACGGCTAATTGTAACTTGTCCCCAAATATACCACCCATGCCACAAGCTACCCTGCTATCTACAAACAACGAAGCTAGTAAACAGTGGACAACGATTTCAAATTTTAGCCAACAACAACATTTTAAGAGCATTAGAACTTTGCTCTTGGTGAAAACTGAATCGGGGTCCCCAGATAGATAGTGGGTGCAGTGCAGGGAGAAGACAGATGTTTCATAGATATAGAATATAGATTGGACCAATACGTAAACATCAGCATTACTATTCCTAATCAAGTTTTCTGGGAGAAACAACCCAGAGATGACATTGGAATAGGGGAGAAACCCAGGAGTGTTCGGCAGGTACTGACAACCATTTGGAAGCCTTAAAGGTTGGTCATTCTGGCTGTCGCCATCTTGTTTTGAGCCAGAAGTGACCACATTTGGACGAGAGTGTGGAGCTGGTGGATGATACACTGCAAGTTATATGTTTAACGTGAGAAATGGGCAGTGCAGTAAGAGTCAGGATTCTGTTGCTGCATTGATCAACAATGATCTAGTTAGGCAGTGTGATCTGACATTTTTCAGCTCAGACAGATTAAAGTCCAACAAGCCTGAGATATCCTTAAATGGTACAGAGGATAAACCCTTCCGATTGAGGTGATATCAATCCGGACACAGGAGTATCAGTAAATAAATATTATCATTCACATTTATAACATACATCTTTATTCAGTTAGGTTTGATGTGCTCTAATATAAGCTGGCAGAGAAACAACAGCGCTTCAGATCCATCAAACTGTACATGAATCAGTTTCTAATCCAGTCTGCTTACACAATGTTACTGAAGTTCATTAAACAGCTGCTAAAAGTAAATATGGACTGCCCCTCAGGGAGAAAATGAAGGGGAGTTAAGTCTCTGTGTGTGACCCCTCATTACACCACTTAACATCTTTAATAAAATGCCACGTAAATGTCAGAAGAAGTTTAATTGGAGGAAAATGAAGTACTTCACTTACAGAGTGCTGAGAGACACTGCAGGATGTCTGTGTGAGGAGAACTTCCTGCTGCCCTTTCCCTAAAATGACTCATTATAGCCCTATTTACATACACACATTTATTCTGCTGTGTACTGTGTCAGCAGCGGGGGAACTCTTCTTTTAATACAGTGAGTGTTGGAATGTGAGTGGTCAGGATACTAGGTTGTTCTCTCAATCCTTGAAAAAGACTAAAGATCAAAGACTAAGGGCGGATTCACACCAAGCGTTAACCTCAATAGGAAACCAACACGGCAGTAACGAAAACTGTAGTTCCTCAAACAGCCACTTGAGGCCTGACTACAGAACCGAGTGATCTCCATAAGGCCACATATTAAAATGTTCAACTTTACAGCCTTGTACAAAAGAAGTTTTTTGTGTCTATAGCTCCCCGTTTAAATTATACATAATTAAGGATTGTCTTAAGGCGTACAAATTGGACGTATTGATGCGGACATCCAATGGTCAATCTGCGCTGCATAGCTGGCTCTGATGAGTAAACTAGTTCACCAGTCACCACAACAAGAGAAAACATTTTTAACCAATGAAATGACAGACAATGGTACACTTCCTGTGCTTGGTTCCAATGGCGTTCACACCAGTAATTATCTGCCCCAGAGTTTACTTGACAGCAGTCCAAGACCACCCCTTGAAGGTGGACCAGAGAGCAGTTGTTTGGGCTGCACTAGAGTTTGTGTTTTGAGTTCACCCCGACCCAAACAGACGCACCGAAGAGATAAATTATGTTTTTTAAAATCACAATATATTGCCCTAGTTGTGCTTTGAGCTAAATTACAACATGCTGATGTGTTAGGAGGTGTAAAGTTTACCATGTTTACCATCTTAGTTCAGCATGTTAGCACTGATACAAGTGCAGCTGAGGCTGATGAGAATGTCACTATAGTTTAACAGGTTTTTGGTCATACAGCAATAGTAGTAGGCTATTGAACAAACACAAATTTTGACCTGCTGGTGGCACAAAACTGACATACAAAACCTCACCAACGTCATTAGGATTCATCCTACGAGGATCATTTGTGTACTGACCATCCAGTCGACTGATTTTGTGTGCCTCCACAAATGGAACTGGAATCTTATACCAAACTTGTGTTCATAGAATAAAGGAAACCAAACGTGTACAGTGAAGCAGAAGCACGTTGACAAAAAACAAGAGAAAGATTTCTCTGTAAATATTAACATTTATTTAAGTATACAATTTAGTTTTCTCATTGCTCCCAACCCTGCCACCCCCCAACCCCTTTTCACAGGTTCTCTGTCAGTATCTCGGCTTCTCGATGCAGCATTAAGCCTCGCTGGAGGACGGTAAAAACTATAAGACGAACAGTTAAAACGAGCGTTGGTTATTTCTTTACACCGTTTACAGACGGAGGATTACAGGCATCGCAAAACCCACAAGCTGCTTGCAAATGCCACATTTGGTTCATTATTTGCTTTTTTTTTATAATTCTCCGTAAGGAGGCATTTACAGTCGCATTGCATAAAATTATAGTTCGTTAACTGAAGGACGGAAGTGGATGAATTAATTTTTAATCTTTTAGTTTCTTTGCGTGATGTGTTATATGTGTGAAATACTGACCAGAGCGCTGCTGATGTTTCCTCCAGCAGGAAATAACAGAATGATGCCACAACAAAAACAACCAACCAGACATTAAGAACAAAACTTCCATAATTTCACAAATGCCACAGTGTTGTGTGAGTAGACGTGTTTTTGCATTAAGCCAAATGAAGTCACAAACTGAAACATCGTCAGTCATGTTTGTAGTCCCATTTAAAGGTCAAGATATTGCAAAACCTTTAGCTTCTAAAACTGTCCATCGTCACTGTAACCTGCTTGAAATAAAATACAAAATTATTTGACAAAACTCACATCTGAAAAACACAAAACTGAACTATCATATAAACTGTGTGCAAATAAACGGCTTTAATGTCATAAAAAATTAAAGTTGGAAATCCATGAGACGACCGAGCCGCCGCAATTTGGTCAAAGGATTTCTGAAAAAAATAACACGACTAAACTATTGTTTATTAGGAAACTCGGAGGTACGAAAAGAAGCACGGTAAGAAAATAGTGTTATCTCGCATTTAAACCGACCACTGTCTAACACAAAGAGGATCCTGCCTGTTTGGTCGCACGTCAGCTCCCTTTTCAGTTTCTTCAACAAGGAATGAAAACGCGAACAAACGAACACAGAAAAATATTTCCAAAGGAGCACACGAAAACTCCAATTCCGATTCTTCTCAGTGGAGCAGCTAGTGTTTTATATTATTGATTACTGATACTGACATGAAGCCGGCTGTGTCTCCACATTGTGCTGATGGCGGTGTTAAGTGCTTTCTAATGACAGGATGTCCCGGCGAAAGTGTATTCTTTTAACGATGAGGGTGTGTGACGCTACAGATTTAACGGATGAGGTATTGCACAGATTAATGATAATAGTCATAAAAAACAAAAAGCAGAAAGGCAAAAATAAATATACAGCCAATTCATACAACATTTACATTATAATTTTAGTCAGATGCTGGAAGATATTTTAGTGTCAGCGGTAGGTGCGGCGTGACCACGGTTGAAGAAAGACATATTCACTAGTCGTCCCACTCGTCATCGTCTTCGAAGTCCTCGTCTTCTTCGTCATCCTCGTCTTCGTCTGGGTAAAAAAAACAAACAAAACTCTTTCACATTAACACAGCGGGTCAGAAACCACAACAAAGTGAACTGGAAATGTAAGACTGAAGAACACGGAGCTCTGCCTTAAAGTAAAAGTTCGACATTTTGGGAGAGACGCTTGTTTGCTGTCCTGGCAAGAGTTATATAGTCCAGTAAATATGAAGCTACAGCAAACAGCCGGCTAACTTAGCTTAGCACAAACTCTCTAAACCTCACTAATCAACACGTTATATATTGTTTGTTTAATCCACACAAAAACCAAAGTGTAAAAACAACAAATTTCAATTCACAGGGGGGTTATATACAGTTACAAAACCCTCGGCAACCAGCGTAAGACTCCAGGACGTCACTGGTCCTAAACAATAAAACAATAGTAATGGAAATGTTGTTTATGCTTCAGTGTTTGTATGGATGTAATGACTTAACAGGAGAACTAATGTCTTCATTAGTGAGCTTTAGAGGTGCTGGTAGATGGATTTTGTTACTGTCGTAAAGAGCCAGGCTAGCCGTTTCCTCATTTCCAGTCTTTGTGCTAAGCTATGTTAGTCAGCTGCTGGTTGTGGTTTCATATTTATTGTACAGAATCAAGACTGGTATCCATCTTCACATTCAAGTCTCAGCAAGAAAGCAAATGAGAGCATTTCCCAAATTGTCAAACTATTCTTCAGTGTATCTTTGGAAAAGGACTCAGGCCACATGAGAACTCCAGATGTCGTGGTCACATGATAGAGTAGAATAGAATAAACTTTATTGTCCCAGAGGGAAATTTATCTTGGGCACAGTTCTACAGTGTGTTGCTTCACGGAAACAAGCATACCTCACCAACAGAGAGATGTGTGTCCCTCCACGTAATAGATTACAGATACATTTACCTGAGGAATGGATGGCTTTGCTCCTCTTCTGCATCACCTCCATAAGGGCGCCGACGATGCCTGCAGTGGGAGCTGGCGTTGAAGGGTTGGACTCTGGGTTATCTGACACCTGTTTGTATTTTGGCCAAATTAAACAAATAAAACCACTGGATTACTTTTAATACCAAAGAAAACCTCCAAATAGGATGATTGTGAGGCAAGGAGCATCTTTATTCTGTGATTTATAAGAGAGATATTATAGTATAGTAACTATATCAGAAATATTTATATCACAGAGTCATACTGACTCTAAAACCATGTGCATATTGTTGTTGTTATATTGTTATATAAGAAAGGAGTTTGATTCTTGACACAAACTGCATCAGTGAACAGTCACACATGTATAATGTGGGAATCAGACATCTTCTTACGGTCTTGAGCTGGATTCCCTGTCGGATCTGGTCCAGCAGGGCGTCTCTTCCCACGCCGGAGGCCGGCACTCGGTTGTTCTGCTCCACCTTCTTCAGCTGGGTTCCTCCTCTGATCTGGTCCAGCAGTGCCGACTTCCCACCAGGGGTTGGCGAATGAGGAGAGTCTCCGCCTCCTCCAACACCATCCAGCTCTGGAGGGGGAGGGGGGCCGGGAGGGGGAGGTGGAGGCGGAGGAGGAGGAGGAGGAGCGGAGCCGCCGCCACTGCTTACTGGCGACTGCTGGGCCATCGGCGGAGGTGGAGGGGGCGGGGCTTGGGGGGCCATAGAGGAGTGTGACGGAGGAGGAGGAGGTGGGGGAGGCTGGTGATGGTGATGGTGATGATGGGGAGGAGGAGGGGGCTGGTGACCTCCCCTGGTGGGAGGAGGTGGCGGAGGTGGGGCACCCAGAGTTCCTGGTCTGGAGGGAGGCGGAGGAGGAGGTGCTGAGGCGGGGGCTCTGGAAGGAGGCGGGGGAGGAGGGGCTCCCCTGCCACCTCTGGAGGGCGGAGGAGGAGGAGGGGGTGGAGCCGAGCTGTGGGGAGGCGGAGGGGGAGGAGGGGGACCGCCACGAGAAGGAGGTGGAGGGGGTGCTGCAGGAGGAAATGATAAACAGACATTTTATCAATACATCATCAGATGACGTCACACAAACTGTCACCTGTTAGTTCCAATAAAGTTTCCCACAGAGATCATAAACCTGGTTCTGGCCTTCTTCCTCAGACTTAGTGTAACTTTACTTTAGCCACATAAAATCTCTTTTTAAAAAGACCGTTCAGATCCATTCAGAGCTTTGTTTCATCTCTACGTCTGTTTGAAGCCTCTCTGATGAGGCAGCATCGGACATTTTCATTTTTTCCGAGTTTTATCAAAGGGCATTTTCATTTTTTCCGGGTTTTATCAAAGGGCATTTTCATTTTCTCATTAGTTCGCCTATTTTGATGATTGTTTAACTCATTTTTGAACACAAATGCCAGCTGACTTCTACTTCCAGCTTCTTAAAACGTGGTGCTTTTTCTCGTCTGAGTATCTTTGGCTTTTGAAATGTTGGTCAGACAAAACAAGCGTTTTAAATATGCTAACCTTGGCTTCATGAGATTGTGTTGGACATTTTTCACTGCTTTATGACGTATTATTGACAAATTAGTAAATTGAAATTATCTAGAAAATAATCAGCAAAGTAACAGATAATGAAATGAATTGTAAGTTGCAGACCCAGACTCCAGGTATGAAAATAAAGGCCTTCTGTATAATCACCTTTGTACTAGAAAAACATCCCAGAGTGCACTGACAACCATTGATGACCACCATTAATGTTCCAATACTGCTTATTGATTCATTTTTTTAAATCGCTGGCACAGCCTGAAAAGGTCCTTTATCTTTCTACACCTTGTCTAAATGCTAAAAGACGAGTGATGTCTGAGATTCACACTGACACACACACACACACACACACACACACACACACACACACACACACACACACACACACACACACACACACACGCACACACATCACACCCCCCCCCCCCCCCCCCCCCCCCCCCCCCCCCCCCCCCCCCCCCACACCCCTACATCACCCTAAATTGAGATTCAGATCACTCTACACTCTTCTCAGAGCAGTTTAACATGAATAAAACATGGTGAAAAGGACAGAAGAAGCAGTCTGTCACAAAGAATAAAAAAATCAGACACAGAATACCGTTTCATCTGCACACCGAAAATCTACCGTCTGATAGAAAAATACAGGAGAACCGAAGGAAATGATATTTCAAGATAAAACAGCATTTTAAATGAGTCCATAAGTTATTTTGTTTCTATTTAAAATGGTGAATACTCATTAAAGTACACAATTTATTGCATAAAACTGAGATAGACACCGGCAGTTATAATACCACTGTTATATTGCTGTATTTGTAATTTATTTTTCCAGGAGGTCAAACATTTTAGATTAGCAGTCGGGGCTTAAAAATTCCCAGACTTCTGACTCGATGACTTCACTGTCCAATAAATAGTCAAGAAAAATGGGTTCTAAATTGGTGGATTTAGTTACTGTTCAAACATACATCAAAACTGCAGAGCAGCAGTATATTTTTGTTTAAGGACCGGAGATGAGGCGGCTGACAGGTGTTTTTCGCTGATGCCAATTTCTCTTTGTACTTCACAATTTGGTCGTAATAACTGGGATGTTAGATCTTAAGATGGGTAATTAAATGGAAGGAGGAGACAGACGCTGACTAATCAATGCCAATAGCAACTATCCGTTTCGAAAACTTTAAAAAGACCTCCACACCGCAGACATACAGGTCACTTGTTTATGCTCACAGACGTTATAATGTCACCTTTGCCTCTGGGTGCCACAGCATCAAACATTTAACTTAGTTAACGGTAATTCAAAAATCATCTTATCTGCCTGTCAAATCAAGAGAAATTGCAGATGCACGTTTTATTTTAAAACCTTTATCGACCAAACCGATTATATCATCATACATACTCTTTTTTTTTTTTGTGCAGTAAAACCATTGAAAGTGAGGAGCTTCATTCTTCAACAAATGCTGCACTGCTTCATTATTTTTTAAGATCAGTTTGACACTTCAAAGCTTTGTGTGTGTGTGTGTGTATGGGTGCGCGTGCGGGCCCTCACCCTGCCTCCTCAGCTCGTTCTTGACGGCCTCCACGCCTCCCTTCTTCTCGATGAAGTCGTAGATGACCTTGGATGTCTCTCTGTCCTTCAGTTGAGCCTCAGAGATGCCACACATGTCGAACAGGTTCTTTAGTTCAGGGTCCAGGTTGTTCAGCTGCAACATCAACCACAGAGAACATTTTAAAAACACACACAGCCCACTGTTGAGGACTGATGACATCTATAGCTGTAAGACCTAAAGTTTGCATCAAGTTCACACTTACACCATTTACTGAAGACTACTTGTGATTAAACTTAATTTGATTATAAAATAGCCTCAACAAATTGTGTGCATGTAGGAAAGGCTGGGTGAGAAAAGGTGCATTATCAGGCCAAGAGTAAGGAACCCCATCACTTGTTGATTTTTGTTTGTAACAGAGGTCAGAGTCTACAGCAATCCTATTGACTATGTGAGGCTGTAGCATCACCATTTAAATAAATAAATAAATGAAAACACAAAAGTCAACTTCATGGTGGTGCTGCAAAAAAGTCAAATTCATCAGCAAAGTCATTAAGACACAGCACCTGGAAACCATGAATATAAAAAACTAATATTATTGAAATCGCAATATGGCATATAAGTGCATTATGGAAATCCCAAGAGCTGTAATGTTTTTATAAAGGGAAAATTTGTTTTTTTAATGAAAATTCAATTTGTAATGCAAAAATGATCATTTCCAGGTAATCGTGAATCGCAATCACAAAATCTGTCAAAATCATCGCAATACGTTGTTTTTACCATATCGAGCAGCCCTTATAAAATCACCCTAAATATGCTGCCAATCCATCACATAGATGTTGAGCTATTTTACAGAATAAGTGAAACTTAATGATTCTTCCACCAGCGGGTCAGAAGATCACCAAAATCATAAAAACGTATCCTCTAGGGAACTTTAATATCTATAGCAATCCATCTGGGAGCTGTCCAGATACTGACACTAATGTCAACTGAATGAAGAAAATGTCATGACAATCCCTCCAGTATTGTTGAGATATTTCAGTCTGGACCAAAGTGATGGACAGACAGACCAACACTGTATGGCTAAAAACAGAAGAAAGAAAACAAGTTTATATTCCTCAGAGCAAGGGAAGGTAAAGTACGGGGTTGATAAAAGTGTTGGTATGAAAATGGTCCACTGCTTAAAGAGCACCGTGGATGTTTGGTCAGATTCTTCTTTTATCAAATGTTTCTTGATTTCAATAAGAGCTTTTTTATTCTTGTTTATTTGGGCATGTTCTTGTTTGGCTGTTTTTATTCAGATATTAAACACTGATGCATTTAAAAAGCTTGACTTGCTATACTTAAAATTTAAACATGCTCAGTGCGTGATGTCCAGACTAATTTCATACATCTTAGTTTGTCTTCTTATAATATATTTGTTGGAATTTATTATTTACTCTCTGTTATTTTCTTTGTTCATTTTGTGTTCAACTGATCCGGGATTTTGTTTTGGATACCTTTCCCCTTCAACTAATAACAAACACACTCAGAAAATACAGAAATGTGAGATGTATGAATTGAGGCTTATTAAGTAAAAAAAATAAATAAACAAGAGTTTCCTGCTCCTCTTTGATTAGCTCGGTTTAAAGTCATTTAGTCAAAGTACAGTCACAGTACAAAGCAGTAAGATTCTGATAGCAGTCAGTCTTAGTCTGACATCTGGTGGCCAACAGGCAGAATTAAAAGCTGCTGGAACCCACAATATATAAAACAAACCACTCAGCTGACATGTTTTCAGGATCGTTCAGTATGCTCGCTCAGTCGGGTAAAAGGAGACAATTGGGAACCAGTGAATGGAAAGCAATCGGCTTCCTGCTTGTTAAGCCTGTCAGTCTGCACACAACATTTGTCAGTGAACAAACTCAAAGATGACTTGCATCAGCAACACTGGTTGCTATGAGAAACCAGTCAGGTTTTATAGACAGCCACCATTTTACAACATTTGTCAAACCTTAAATGAGAACACTGATCATACAACCTGTTTATTTTCTCCTGAATGCTGTAATTATATGTGAAAGACTCCACTTAGAAACATGTTTCCTTTCATGGTTCCTTCACTTGGAGGTTTGACTTTCACTGTACAGACTGATGTGTGTGCAGTTTGTCACTAGATGCTGTTGGCTCACATTTGTGTATTGCAAGCTTCTCTTTGTTTTTTTCTCAGTTGTTTTTCTTTTGCCAAAACGCGACATCACAGCTTTTAATTTAGAGTGCCAAAATTATTCATGAGGGCTTTTTGAGATTGTGAAGACACGAGTGCTTTGCATGTGTTGGCATTTATTAATTTCTTCAATATGCAGCTCTCTAATGAGTTAATGAGGCTGCAGCCTGGTTCTCTCAGGAACATTCTAACTGTTCGCAGCTTCTGAGACGTAGCGAGATGTTTGTGAATATGAGCAGGAAACAAAAAGAGCCTATTGTGTGATTTCATCATGCACCCACCACACAGGTCACTATTGTGCTCCTGTGTGTGTGTGTGTGTGTGTGTGTGTGTGTGTGTGTGTGTGTGTGTGTGTGTGTGTGTGTGAGAAAGAGAAAGGGGTACTCACATCAAAACCTGTGTTCGGATCCCAGCCCACGTGACCAATGTGCCTGAAGACGACGGGACAGATATGTGGTGAGATCACACATGTCCATACACACAAAGGCATAAATATGCAGAAGTACATCAACTATTTAGCATATGAATGTGGGCGACCATGTGCACATGCAAAATACTGAGCCCACACACACACACACTCTCATACATCAGTCACAGAGACAGTGTGGTCATTGAGCACTCTGAGACCATACAGAACAACTGTTGCCACAAAGCAGAGTGTTACTGCAGGCTGAGACAGGACGGTACAAGTCCATAACTGCACACACAGGTACACACAGTGGGGTACATTTCAAAAGGGCTTTATCATCTTACAAAACATCAAAGTAACTTATTTGTTACATAGACTGAAAATATCACACGGACAGTTCAGGAGGTTTCAGCACATTAACAGCAAGCTGTACAAATTACATTCCTAGTGACCATTTCCTAAGACATCCCATGACTTTTTGGTTTAAAAGGAGGAACATCATAAGTACCGAGTACTTCCATTACTCTGCCTGTAAAAACAGTTGCATAGAGTCTTCTGTGTCTCTGGAGGAACTGTGTCAAGTCTGAGTAATTCACTTCAGTGACACCACTTGAGTATCTCGTCTTCACCATGGAGAAAACAGAAAGCCTGTGTTACAAACTGGAGGTGTGGAGTCTGAAAGATGTGGTGAATGAAAGAAACTATTGAGTTGGAATGGTAATGTAGGATCCAGAGATTCTGGTGTTTGCCCCACACTGGGGACTATAAGTCAGCATATCTCACATACATTTTTAACCATCCTTTTTTTTTTATGTCTCACATGAGCCCCCCAAACTAGAGCTACAACTCCAAGTCAACAGACAGAAAAACGGCTTGAGTTAGATTACTGATTGCTTCATTTGCCTGGTATCTCATCTTCAGTGTGCTGCAGCACCGAAGCACTCAGTGATGTAAAATGTGTTACTCACTGGAAGTTGCTGGGCGTGCCAATGTCGGCCTTGGTCAGTTTCTTCTTCTTGCCTTTGGTCTTCTTGTCCTTCCGAGTTAGCCCGCTGTGGCTCAGCATGTTGTTGAGGTGGTACGGCTGCTGGTGACTGTGGGAGTTGTGGAATCGGACGTTGTTGATCTCCGGGTTCTTGATGTCCACTGTGGCCATGTGCAGAGCTGGACCTGCAGGCAGGGAGGGAAAGAGGGTGGTTGGGTAGAACTGTTCATGAGCTGTGGTTGATTTTGGACAACAGAATTTCCACCTATTACCCACAAATATTAATATGTAATAAGCAGAAATGTTTCAATGCCAATCCTGATCCCCAGGGGAAGAACACATTATATTTTAACAATCTCATGAACTTGTCTATCACCACCGTTGGTACAAACTTTACATTTTTAGCTCCGCTACTGGTAGGGTTCCAGTAGCTAAATCACTGGTATATTGTTTGTCATGTCCAACAATTTACTAGTCTGGATTTCTGCTGGAAACACCTTTTAAGATCTTTTAATATAACATTCAATACTTTGCAACAAGTTTTTCACTTTCATTCCAGCCAAAATATGACACATGAAGAAAACCCAGTAAAAAGGATAATATAGCATATTAAATTAAGTAATAAAAAATGCAGAGTTGTTGCAGAAAAAAGTTGAACCGGATTCAACTTTTGCAGCAACACAATTTGACAGCATCCGGCGAAATGCTGCATTGGCCAGTCAAATACATACAAATGCACATTTCTGGTACATGACTCTGTAACGTGAATGCTGTATTTAAGATGTCTTATTTATTCTCCTGTACAGCACTTTGGTCAACTTTGGTTGTTTTTAAAGTGCTTAACAAATAAAGTTGGATTGGATTACTGTTGACCTCACAGTTGTTGTGACAAAAGTGTTAAAACTGTTAAACTACTCTGTAGTGTTTGGGGGGCTGATAAGCATGGATTTATTACTCAAACTAAACTTCCTGCATTGCATCTCTCACTGGTGCCTGAACCAACTACACCCACCACCAATGCCCCCATACAGGGGGATGCTGACTTCAGACTTTTAGGTTTTACTGTAGTAAGCAATCGAACTGACCCGTTCTGACTCTCATAGTCATCAATACCTTTGGCAATCTTGGTACCTGAGGGATCTATATGGAAAAGTGCTTCTGTGAACTCTCTGCTGTATTTCATGTTCACCAATAGCAATCTCATCTCTCTCTCTCTCGTCTGCACCAAGCTTTCATGATCTATACTTTGTAATGTAAATGTCGGCCTGCTGTCCCTCCTCTCCCATGGGTCCGAACTGCTCAGTCCTCGAATTCCTCATAATCTCCACAAACCGCAGCAGCATCTGACATAATCACTAATCCACTGCTAATCCCAGTTCAAATCCATGGACTCCCCATGAATGCTGGTAGTCTATGTCCAGACCAACAGGCTCGCCTCAAATCTGCCGTCTCATGAGGACTAGGGCGGACATCGTGGCAGTTACCCACTTACATTAAGCATGAGAGGGTTCTGTGTAGGCCTGGGTGTCCAAGATGAATACTTCCATCGTACTGACTGATAGGCCTCTGTACAAAAAGTATTGAAAAATGCTGAATCATTTGGTACAAAGTTGGTCAGATCCATGATTGTTTAGAATTGTATTACAATACTTTGATTGACCCCCACTGTCCACTGTCGTAATGGTTACGCTCACTTAATCTAGCAAGCTACCCGGCTTAATTGCCAGTATCACTGGTACCACAGAGGAGAATTTTCTGCTAACCATAAAGAAAGTCGGCAAGTACTTTTTATGAGGTTTTATGGTAAGACCGGTTGAAAAATATTTTTGTCAGTAAATTTTTTTTTGTTTATTAGCTACTGGCAGGGAGATCAAAAAGAAAGATTTCCACCCTGGCTACATCATTTAACATTTGAGAACTTCTTCATAGGACTATTTTGTTCAGTAAAAAAAAGACCATTATATTTCATATTTCACACAGGTATCATTTTCAGTACTGAAACTCTGGTATATCAGCAAAACATGTAACTGATACCTAATCCCTTAATCCAATTATAGTTTTACAAAATGCTGTTCTCCTGATCTGTTTGCCAAGACAGACTTGGGTTTTTGCCACGAACACGAGAATGCAGAAAGCTGCTAAACCTGCTGCTAAAACTTTGGGTTCTTTTCTGAAATAGATCTGACCTGCAACTTATAACTTCCTTTTTGTTTGTCAATGGACAGCATCTATGAAGGGAGCTTCAGCTAGATTTCACATCAAAAAAGTGAAAAAGAGAGTCTAAGGTGAACTCTCAATATTCCCAAACAATGAGGGTTATCCTTGAAGTACCAATATGAACAGGGAGGACGGAGGCTAACTGAGACACAAACGCATCTCCCAAACAGAGAGGCATATCCAGAGCAACAATGTCCCACTGTTGGCCTCATGTTTCACAACTGAAATGTCAGAATGAATCCCTGTCACTGGAGGGAAACTCCAATGAAAGAACGATCTCGGGCACAAATCCATGGAGCTGATTGAAGGGACAGCTGATTTGTTCACTATCTGTTAATCCTGCTCTTTACGGCGTCAGTGTTTGCCAACAGTCAGAGGGCTGAATGAAAATAAACAGTCTTTCGGGAGGACATGCAGACACAGCTGCAGAAGAGAAGCTCTAAATTAAAGTTCTGATGCACTGGGACCATTACTCACAACTTTGTTCATGGTGGTGTTCACATGGAGGCCAAAAAACTCACTAAAATAGCATTTACATTTTAAAATATGTGCTGCTCAAAAGCCATTTTACCCACAGAACCCATCAGATTGTCACATTTACTTGTTACTGCTTTTATAATCTGCTTCTGCAACTCCACTCCAAAAAGTGAAAGTGGCACATGAAGCCAAGGAAGTCACTTCCTGCTGCAAAGAAATGACCCGGAGGAAAACATTACCACAACATTACAGACTTCCTCTGGCCGAGCCAGCTAACTTCTGCTGTAGCCCTCCATTAACTTGAATGTGGATGCATCATTAAATCTTGCGAATCTTCTCAACTTGTGAAAAATGCAATCGGACTGAATGGATCACATTCTGACAGTGAAACGAGTCATTTCGTGCAGGTTGTGACGCTTGAAAAAAAATGTATCCAACGTTTCCCATCTGCCTCTTTCACAATGCAACATTATGGGAAAAGGTGTTTTTGGGCCAGTGTGCATCATGGGACGGACACCATTGCTGTAATTACACAGTTTGGCCACTATATCAAATTGGCTTCAAAGCTTGGGTGATAAGCTAAAACAAATTTCTTGCTTCCTGGTTTGCTTCTGCACGTGCTCATTAATGTTTCTCTCCTTGGCTCCACCTGCACACAGCCCCCCTCCATATACTCTACATTAGGATTATGTAACAAACAAAAAAACTAAAATCTTTGTGGCTTATAAATTCATACTACAAAGAATAATAATTTAGCTAATTTTCAGTTTGAGGTGTCCTGTGAACATTTTTACTGAGGTCTGTACAATGGAGGTCTTCGGGCGAAATGCTTTTTAGGCTGCAGTGCTATTCTTTTTAATGCAGTACCGAGGTCACTGGGATACATTACCAGTGAGTGTGAGCGGCGGCGCTATATGCAGCTCTCAAGGTTGGAGACCTTTTATCTATGTTTAGTTTGTCAGACTTTGCACACAGTAAGTTGACCTCCATCTCAGTACTGATATTTTCAAAATGTTTCATGATTTCTTCTAATAAACTGAATGATAAAATGAAGTCTATACAAAACTAATGGTCAGCAGCAGTAACTGTGGGGATTACAGATTAGACCTAATGTGCATCACAACAGGGTTTAAAGGGAACAACAACAGAGACCATGTGGTCCACATATGGCACAGATGGGCTTCCTGCTGACCAGATTAACCTGCGGCAGACTCCACTGCACTCTGGCATTGTGAGTCACATTGTCTGTGAAACAACGCCGCCACCGTGTCAGAAAACACAGCACTCAAGTCTCCTGGCACTTGTCATCCAGCGAGAACACTGTTTAATCAGCTTCTACTGCTACATTCATACAACACGCTGCTTTGTGCACAGTCCGCCGTTGTTGGTCTGGTTTTTATGAACTCGAGGTGTGTATTTGCAGTAGTCATAAGTCTGCTACGGGGCCTTGTCTATAGGTGTGGTGGGTGTGAAACAAAAGCTGGCAAAGTGTCACTGGATTCATCACAGCAAAAGGGATTACAAATCATTTAAACCAAGAAACTATGGGCTCGGCTCTCATTTGCCATTTAAGCCAGATTTAAACTTGACACAAGGAGCTATAGTTGTCCTACACTAGATAAATAAGGCATTTGTAGTTTGTAGTTTAGCGTTAGATTTTATCCGCTGATCACTACTGCGACACTAGACTGATGAGACATTTACTATAAAGGCTATATGGTGCTTTAAATACTTTAGGCAAGCTAACCGTTTGTCACTGTATGCACAAACTGAACCTTTTCCACTGGTGGGTGAATATGGATACACACCATATTAGTTTGAAAGATTATTTGTTGAACTGAGAAAACTGATAGGTGTGTGTGTGTGTGTGTGCTTGAGTAACGCAGGAGCTTCCATGTTTAAAAGTACAGATTAAAATGTCCCTAGCCTTCCCACCAGTAACCATGAGTGTTGCCAAATTAACCATAATGAAAATAATTTGTCTCCATTTTGTTGTATTTTATTGTACTTTGTGTTTTTGTTGTTCGCTCTGAATAACAATTAAAAAAAAAAAAAACCACAGAGTTCAACATACCATTTCTAGGGTCACCTCTCTTCTCTGCAAAAAACAAATTAACACAATTATTGTTTAGAACAAAATCAGCAGAACTGGTCTAAATAAAGAAAACATGAAAAGGAAAATTAGAATATTTAGGAAACGAGAGAAGAGGGTGAGCGGTCAGAAAGTGTGTCGAAGTTCAGTTAATGTGATTCTGTGGCGGCTACAGAGAAGCAACACTTTTACAGCCCGCAGGTGTAAAAGCTGCTTGAGGAAATATGGAGCATGCCATGGGCAAAACAGCCAGACAGAGCGTTAAGGAAGTCTTTAACATGAGCAGAGGAGGAGAAGCAAAAGCTTTGGGAGATTAGTCTGTGTCTGATAAAAACTTCCCCCCTACAAACATTCTGTGCCCCAGCTCTGTGAGCCTTTGGACCTTTAGTCATCATCAGCTTGCACTGCAGTGGTGCACTTCAAAAGGCCGGCATGCTGGGAGCAGCTGGGAGGGAAACCAAAGAGGACCCTCACTGCACAGACGTTTACTACACAGACACAGGCTGACAGTTTTACTACAGCAGAGAGATGCACACTGAGCTCACAGGAGCAGAGAAAAGAAGGAAACTGTCCCAAACCAAGCCTTAACTTGTGTCCTCATCAAAAAAAACACCTTTACAGATTTCACATTTTGACTTATACCCTTCTCATACAGCAGACAGACACACATATGATGTTTGATGCTAATTTAGCCAGCTACACTGTAGAAAAATGCTTCCACACACTCTTACTGATGGGTCAAAAGGGCAGAAAATAGGTCAAGCTGAACAGAAAAACTACTAAAAGCTTCAAACGGGCTGTTGCACTTACAGAGTTCATAAAGGTCATTGCAGTTCAAATATGTAATTATTTCCCACTTCTCAAATAAAAAGTGATGGCCCTAGTCTGGTGAGGTGTGACATTAGACCCAATCACAGGAGACAGCTGTCACTCTGACTGACACTGTTGGCAGACAGTCCAGTCTGCAGTGCAGTTCATTCACCGATAAAGCAGATATTTACACTGAATTACATCCAAAAATAGATGCACACGTTTACCCCTCTCTTTTGTTTTGAAGAGTCTGTTAAATTATTATTAGATTTTATTAAATGAATTTCCATCACTAATATCTGGCTGTAATTGGCAAAGTGACCCACAGTACAGCCAATCAGGTTCCTGGATGGCAACCTGCATCGAGTATCCCATTCATGTGTCAACCAAAGTCAAATCTTAGTCAGGAAGAGGATCGGCAGTGCATTCACAGTGTAAATGGGGAGTTAAACTGCAGAGATGTAAATAGGACAAAGATCAGGAGTCAGTGGCTTCTGTGAACGACACTGTGGTCCTATATTTTGTACCTTGCCTTTTCCTGAAACGCTTTATTTTGGCGATTTCTATATCTTCAATCATTCGAGGCTTCAATCCTAAAGAGGAACTCCACAATAAATTATTGATGATAGACAGACAAGAGACCAAAGAACCCTGTACGCTGTCAATCACTTATGCTCACTTTCCAAACTGTTTAAAGAGCAATTACTGGGAATGTGGGATTGTTGGTATCCTTCTAAATCCTCCTTTTTATACACCTATTCTCAAAATCCATTCAAATATTGGCAGCAAAACCATGAATCTTCTGTGTTTACTATTGTTGCTAACTCTAGCTCATATTCACTTTTCTTGAGATGCAGATACATAAATTCATTTGAGAGTTTAGTTCCTGGGTTGATTGGATTTTATAAGCATCATCTCCCTAGTGCAGCTGGACAAGAGCAAGGCAGACAGGTTTGGGACTGTGGTTGAGGTCTTGTTAGCAGAAGAGTTGGTTAGTATTCTTCAGTCTGAGCCCAGGTGTGAAAGGTGAAAGGTCACACAGGTTAAGGAAGCAGAGAGAGAAGACAAACAGACAAACAGAGACAGTAAAACTTGCCGGTTTTACGTTGTCGTCGGTTGAGCAGGTCATTGATAGCAGCTCTGAATCTTTTGGCCTCTTCTTCACTGGCGAAGTTCAGACCGATCTGACAGGTCTGAGAGGAAGAAGAGGAAAAGTCACATGATGAGTACATCTTCATCTTTAAATAAAACTCATTCAACAGAAAGATTACAGAGCAATAGGACTGCACAGCTTGTATAAGGATGGGCGGATCAGAACGGATGCATTGTTAGCTTCTAAACCTGACATTTAATTATGAAAATCTGTCCTCAAACAAAAACACTGATAGCAGGTCATATCAGTGATCACCAGGTACTGCCTGCAGTTATTTATACTGTTGGTTCACTTACAGGAGCAGGATCAACTCAACATTCATAAGCAAAAATGTGCCATTTATTTCTGATTTAGATGTTTCCTCATGATTAACCAACACTCTGGTTTTATCTTTTTCTTAAGAAGATGACTTAATTATTATAAAGATGAACATCTGGTCCTCCAAAACATCCCTTAGCATAGGTCACTATGTATCACACAGAAAGAATGTACTACAGGCTAAACAAGCTTTAATCTAAGATGATCACAGTCAGTCCAGCGCTTCCAACAGGATCACATTTCTACTGCTGATTTCTTAATTACAAATCATATCCCTGAGATTCAGGACAGAGAAAAAGAAAAATCTAAAATGGCTTAATTAAAATGAATTAATTATTGATTTATTTTATGCAAATAAAATTGAGTAATGTTTGGAAGAGGAAATAAGTGGGTTTGCAACCAACACACAGCTACCTTGTTGTATTTCTGCACCTTTTACAAAATCTGATCCTTTCATAACTTTCAGAAGCCGTTCAGAAACAGCAGCAACGTTTTACAGAGCAGAAACATCCTGAAGGCCTGCTGCTTCACACCCCCGTCTGTATGTAAAACAGGCAAAGCCAAGAGCGAGCAGACCCTGATGTGAATATTCGCCTGTGTGTAAAAACATGCAGTGATTATCACACCTTATTAAACAGAATAGGACCCGATCAGTGAGGCCAGCTGCTTTTGATTTTGAAGTAATCACAAAGAGACACACACTTACATCTCCTGCAAATGAGATAAAGTAAGATCTGGAGCTGCTGATGGAGAAGTTGTGGTACAGTTCCTGTTCAAACATGGTTTTCCCTTCCTGCGAAAACACAAGACAGAGAAAGAAACATCAAGTACAAGTACATTCTCTTTGAAGTTTAGAAGGACCACATCTGGGACTACAGAGTTTCATCCACAGAATACAAAACACCTCCACATTAAAACCTTGCTGTTCATTTAAAAAGCAAGTTTTTAGACTGATTTCCTTCAGTCACAGCTCATTTCTATGAAAATCAATGTGAGATGTAAGAGTCGGCTGTTTTATTAATGCAAGAAACAACCATATTCACATGAATCAAATTTTCACAAAATCCATGCTTTCAAATTGTGGATTTTAACAACAGAGCTTATTAAAAGCAAAAAATTCAGTATAAGATTCAAACTTATTGGATGCCAAGTGTGCTTGAAAGAACCACCAAGAGTGTTTTCAAAATTATCCCTGCTCTCCACTGCATTATCAACCACAAAACAAAATGATGGATCTGCAGCATGTTTAAGGTTTGCTTTTAACAGAACTGAACTTAAAACAAAGGCATATTTTGTCCACAGATGGATGTCAGAGCCTGTACGAGCGTCAGACAGTAAATGCACATCAGTGGCTGGTTATATTCACGTTAATGCATTAGGGTTGCACAATTGATTGCACATCATCTTTAAAGCACATGTTAATTTGTTCACTGACTACCAACAGTGAATGGATGCAGTCTGGCCACAATCCACATACCGTAGAGGCAGTGTACAAGACCAAAGAGAGAAGAGAAAAACGTGAACAGATTTGAAGGAAAAGTTTGCCGTTTTCACCCAAGACAGACATTTAAATGTTTCCATTAAACACAATCATGTTGTACACCAACCTCACTGACAGTTAGTTTGGCGATTTGAGAAACATTCAGGTGCCGCATTTTACCGAGTTTTAACAAAGTGAAGTCTACAATCCTTATGTATTATAATGCAATATAACTGCAGTTTGGTAAAAAGGAGATCAGTTTAACCATTTTTCTCCCCAATAGGTCACACAGGTGACAAATGAGAAGAAAAACTATAATTGTTGCTGGCCTATACTGGATGTGAGGCTACCACAGATATTAATATTTTAAAGTTTTAAACAAATCCCAAATCACAATATATTGGCTGATATTCATTTTATAACAAACAATTTCAATTCAATTCAATTGAAGAACTGTGGCAAATACATGCCAAACGATATGATTGGATTACTACCAGTGTTGGAAATTAGCACCTGAGAATTACCTAAACCTCCCAGCCATAATGGCATGTAAATAAAAGTCACAGAGCAATCTTTGATATTCCACAACGCAGATTGAATCGTGAGTCTGCTTGGAGATGCAGAAAAACAATGTGGCGTTACATCTACGGATGCACGATACTTTTCTCAGATAATTGGCCGATAATGGGAAATTATGAATTATTGGGGTAATTCAATTGTGGATAAATTATCGCTCCATAATAATAATTTATTTTGAATTCTTGCAAAACGATTGATTGGCTTTATGTTCTATGAGCTGACTTTTTGAACAGCACAGATCACATGGAATCTGATCTTTTCAATTCTGAAAATGTTTGACCTCAGTGTGGACAGTTATATCAGAGTTCATGTGACTTTTATGTTACTTCAGGACTGTGACCTGTTTACTCTGGAATCTGATGTGCCACATTTAACAAATAATGTAAACAGCCAAACAACAAATCAGAATTTAGCGCTAAGGCTTGCAGTGTGAACGTAGCCCAAGTCTCTGAACTCTACTGGCGGGGAACAATAGCATTCTTCCAAAAGCTATTCCCTCATTTGGTGTTAAAACTCAAAGGACGTAGTATTTATGATTCACTTCGTACTCATAGAACCATTCAGTCAGTCCTTGTGATTTATATGGAAGTATCTCTTTTCTTTGTCATCCGTTTCACCCAAACATACAGTTTTTGCTCAGGAAGTATATTTCTGCAGTGGTTTCAGAAATTGAAACCTCTCGTCAGGATATCTCCGGAGCAAAGGACTTGAAGTAATTTTGTGCGACTTAAGTTTCTCATAAGGAAATGCTGAGTACATTTTTCAGACAAATATTATCTTGAAGCAAACGTTTAGGAAATACGCTTTCTGGTGGAAGGTAAGCTCAGAAGATCAATACCTGTCTCATATCTGTGCATTCATAACCATCACAGACATTGGTCTTCTTATGCAACTCTCCACCAAAAAGCAACTAAGCTTATTTCCCAAAATGTCAAACTATTCCTCCAACTATCTACTGGTGTTCGTCTACAGGATGGTCTCACTCACCTTGATGTCAAACACTCTGATGAAGTAGGACCTCTGTGGGTTGTCTTTGACCAAACAGGCCACTCCACAGCACCTCTTCACCCAGCTGCAGCTCCGGTCTGTGCCATACACCTGGACCACCGCCGAACACAGAGTCTGAACACATAGAGGAAGCACAGTATGGTGAACATCGTCATCTGCACAGTTCATTAACAATTAAACATTGAATAAAAAATAGATTGAGTCCTGCAGTAAGTGAAGTTTTCAACTGTTTGGCGGTGATCTCCCTCCATTATGTGTCCAGATTTTATAGATCAAAACCTCAAACCTGCACATGTATCACAAAGCAGCAGCAGAGCAGCAAACGCGGAAGGGGAAATCTACTCCATGCAAAACATTGAAACAGCGATAAGGACTACATACAGCACACATCTGTTTCATCAGATGAAACAAAGAGCGGGTCAACGGGGCAACACTGAGACCTTTTGAAATCAGATTATGAATGACATATGCAAAATATATTCACAATGGATTCTCAGATGTGCAGAATAAAATGAATAAAGTCTGACATTCTGCCTGTACTTTCATTTGTTCAAATTTTGATTCATTTGTTTTCATGGCCTTGTACTTCAAAATGCACTTGATAAATTAAAAGGATATAGTAAATCACTTCCATTGAGTTGGCTGGCTGGTGAGAAACAGATAAAACAAGTGGTAAAATGCAAAGCCACAGAGGCCGAGCTATGCTGGCTTTTAAGGCCTCAGTATCCAATCAATATCTCAGATTTTTCACTGAATAAGTGAAAACTTTGATCTGCTGGTGGTGCTAAAAGTCAGGGGCTCACAAACGTCAGCAGGATTCGTTTTCTGGACATTATGAATGTATGTATGAAATGTCATCTCAATCCATCCAATAGCCGTTGAGATATTGGAGTCTGGACCAAAGTGCTGGACTGACATTTCCATCCCAAGCGCTGTGTCTCTAGCGTGGCTAAAGATGGCAGATTATTCAACAAGGTTTGAACTCTGCTATTATTAGTTGTGGATTATTGTTTTGAGGCAGCCCTTTTCTACACAAAGTATGCACAAAATATCATTGCATGCTTTAGAATTAAGATTTCCCTTCATTGGAACGAAGGGTTCAAACAAGGAAAAGCTGACCCTGACCAAAGGTATGTGTCCCTTCCCTGTTGACGTTCTATCAGGCCAGGACTGCAGACAACTGCACTTCCTACTTGTTTCGGGTGTTTCATTTCACATCTACTGTATCCTATTTCCACAGTGTTTAACCTTCATTTCTGCAGGACAGGAAGCACAGTCTAGCTGCCGTCCTCAGCACTGTGCTGTCCTCGGACTGCTTTGTGGTTTTGAGGTTTCAGCAGAAGTCACACTGTGTTAAATCCTCTGCCAGGATTTCTCCCTCTGGGGCAGAAAGTAACTCCCACCGCTGGAGGAGGAAAGAGGGAATGCCACTAGGCCAGTAACCCGACTGCACCAAACTGTTTGTTACACAGAATCATCTGGGAAGTCGCTGTAGAAAAGGGTAGGCACTTTCAAAAAACACTTAGTCATAGTCCATCTTTCTATCAGAGACTATCACAGACAAATTTCAACCAATCAGAATGTAGTTAAACTCTTACTGAAGACAGTCTGAAGAGAGAAAACATCCTTTCCATCAAGGAAAGCCTTCAGTGTCGTCCTTTGCTAGCAGCATCTACACTAACCTCTTTAGCTACCATCATTGGTTTTCCTCACACACTTCGTCACACACACACATAGCGTTAAATCATCTCCTGCTGTAGCTGCCAGTGGTTCTCCATAGGATGCTGATTGGTCTGTCACCACTATGTTCGGACACAAGCGCATAGCTTGAAGCCTGTCAAGCTGGATTATCACGTAATCTCAGCCCAGCTGCCTCACAAGTTTACTGGTTTCCTCCTCTGTGATTTATGAGCGCAGGTCAGAGGAGCAGCAGGAAACACTCTTCACCATGAAATCATTGCTCAGCATCACACAGGAAAGGCCAACGGTCAGCCGTTAAAAGCTTCATTTAGGTTCTATAAATTCTTACTGAGGGAAAGTATGCAGCGGTAAACACAGAGGGACTCTGCAGGTTACATCACTCAGAACTTTAGTATCTGAGAACTACAAACCCCAAAAAGATAATACCAATGTTTTAAACAGAGTCTGTGGCACTACTCACTCCGCATAACACACCAGGGCTACTTTACATCACTTCAACTTAACTTCGTGGAAACCGATAAGGGCAAAACAGCATGAGCAATCTAAATATTCAGCAAAAAACACAGAATCGGTCAGTTAGTAGGGACAAAATGTGTATCGCCTGATTCGATGCGATTTATTTGCTTTCCTAACACAAGACTATGGGAATAAGTTGAACAGAAACATAGATCATCATATTTCATAAGTCATTCTGAGTTTTATTTCAGCTGCGTCATTGTTAAACTGCAATTAATTCCTGAACTTATGCTTGTTTACAGAGCTGCATAATGAACTGACTAACAAGCATATGAAGAAAGCATGTTGCGGCTGAGCTTCTTTGATCATATCCTCAAAACAATATTCCCTGTAGACTGAGTATGGCCACATATCCACAGAGATAACCCTCCTTTATCATTCGTTATTACTTTGGTCTGAATCTGCAGTGAGAGGCTGCCTGAACTGTCACCTTCCCGTCTGTTTTTGTCTCCTTCCACCAGTTTTCACACACATTGGAGGTGACACTGACGTCGCGTTTGAAGTGCAGGGTTCAAGGTCAATGTGTTTTTGCATTTGCCCAGTTGGGCAACTGGGTCAGAAATCTCCTTGGGCCATGGACGTCTGTGTTGCGGTTTCAGAACCATTACACCCTTAATCCAAACTATTTAATTCACTGCTTCCACAAACTTTTCATGTAATCTACCTCGGCATAAATCCACCACAGAGCCGTTTGAGGAGCAGAGGGGCTCTCCACAAAGCCGGATTAGCAAATTAGTCACATAATTTAAGGAAGCTTATAAAATATTTTATTAAAAAAAACTCACCTTACATAACTTTAACTTACTATCACATATTTGATTTTCAGGTGTATATCTGTATCACAAGATTTTGCTTTACTGTCGTCACTTATGTCACAGATATCTGTCTAACTTTCTAATCCTACTTTGTAAAATAACCCCACCGGACAACCCTCCATCTGTGTGTTTGTGTGGAAAAGGAGAAGAAGGCTGATCACAAGTTATCCTGGATGGTGCTCTTTAACTGAGATCAGCTCTAGTCACAAAAACAGTTCAATTGCACTTCATTTTACTGGTAACACCTTTGTAACTTTAAAGTCCTGTTAGAATAAAATATTGAATTTATACTTTTTGTTGGATACCTCACTTTGACATAAATGTTTTTTTTCTACCAAAACCTTTATTTTCATTGAACAAAAGTAGCCACGTTAAACAGAAATCCATTCAAGGACCTGTCAAGATAAAATACAGTCTCAATCAATAAAGATTATGAATCTGAACCAAGAGAAGGGCTCAGGTTTCAAACCCAGCCCTACTAGTCGATGCGTCTTTGTTAGTTCAATTGACTGTTGACCTTTGAGCTCAGGTGTTTCACCCTTCATGAAGCTGCTTCTTGCAGCGACCCTGCAGATCCTGTTCAGCCTCTAAAACCAGCAGCAGCTGACATTAAAACCTGCAACGCTGTCCTGGCTGCAACCATCAGTTTGTTCTATTACAGCCAGACAGAGAGATATTTCATAGGGCTAACTGATCAGTTATTTCTAAAATGAATCAATGAATTGTTTAATCTACCGTATTTATCACGGCTGACAACTTCTGGTCAGTTGGTCAATTGCTTGGTCGATATGCTCAATGTGGTTCTGTTTTAATAATCGTATTGTTTAATAGAAGATAAGACCTATAAGTCAGGCAGTCAAAAACTATTTTAACTGGTCCCCCTGGAGACTGCAGGGCTTCACTTACTGAACATTTACTGAAATGCTGCTTTCTTAACAAGGGCTAATTGTTCAAGCTCAACGATGGATCGATAACGTTACAGGTCGTCTGTGAACCGACTTCAAACTTAGAAGCTGCACGTTTTGTTTTATGTTGTTTTAGTGTTCAGTTTGCTGCTGAACTTTGCCTGAGCATGTTGTGCAGCTAAGTGTCTACTGCCTCAGGCTGGGGGATTCTGGACTAACGCTGTAACATTGAGGGACAGTTGAGAGAAACTGTGTGAACATTAAGCCTCATTTGAACACAACTAAATAACCACAGTAGAAGGTTGGATGCCAGGAACTGTTTTTCATGCTGGTTTTTCTGGAGCTGCGTCACTTTATACTGTATTAGCTCTGTTGTTGTACAGAAGACCATTTTGCTCCACGATCCTTGCCGGTATGCATGTGTGTTGTTGCTGCATGTAAATTTACTTGCTAGACGTGCCCTGAAGGTAACGATATTGCTACATGTGAAAAAGCAATGGTCAGACTGCAGGAATTAATTGTCTTGCCAATGTTGGGTCACTTTAATTAACCAAGTCAACCTAGAAATAACATGGAGAATTTGTACCATCGGTAGGGAGAATTTCAGTCGACCAAGATTTTCTTGGGTTGTCTACGTCCCTACTATTTAATGCCCATCACAGTTTCACAGAGCACAAGGTGATGTCTTCAAATGACTGATGTTGTCAAAAAAAGATATTCCGTTTATAATGATATTAAACAAAATGTTCAAACAGTGACAGGCAGCAAATCCTCACACTGGAGACGCCCAACTAATTATTGCAATGTCAGCACTAATCAGAGATATAAAAATACTAGCTGCTGACTGTGATGTTTTTTAACCATTTAAATGATTTATAATCACTATCTATACCTGAGGATAGGGCTGCCACCAACATATATATATTTTTCACTGAAAATTAATCTGCCTGTTATTTTCTCAATCAATGGTTTAGTCTATAAAATGTCAGAAAATAGTGGAATATGACCATCACAGTTTCCTAACTGCCAAAACAAACCAGCAAATAATCACATTAAAATGTGTCTGTCAATTTAGCCATGTTTGCTTCAACAAATTACTTTAACAATTAACCAGTTGCATTTGTGATCACATTCATATGAACATATACAGCGGTACTCAGAAATACTGATACATATATACATACGTTACTTATATTATAACGGAAACATCAAATATTAACAAGATGTAGTTATTGGTGTGTGGATAATACTTTACATTACTACAGTGTTAATTATTAATGTTAGTAGTCTGAGTCTAGCTCTGCTGCCAGTATTTAAGACCCTGTCAATCTAATTGCATTAGCAGAGTGACAGCAGAGGTTCTGACGCACTGATTGGACTTCTGAACTAAAGTTTAACAGTAAAGACGTGAAGGGGTCTGAAGGGTCGCAGATTTCGATGCAACACCGGGCCCCCCGGTTTGAACGCCACAGTAGTCTCAAAGCAGGTTCCTACTGCTTCTTATCAACTCACAGAGATAGACTGGAAGGCGGTAATGTGGAACACGTTTTGAAGACGTGCGGGTGACTGTGCCTGCACCTTGTTTGCACCTGCAGGTGGTAAACAAACTGGAAACTTACGGCGCATTTCCTGCCCAGGTAGCCGAACAGGCACTCGTTCTCCTGCGGGGTCAGGAGGATGGAGCCGACGTTAACAGACCTGCGGGGCTGCGGGTGGCTGTTCATGGCTCCGTATTCTTCTAGTCTATCCCGAAACGATGCAGTTATCCCTGGACGGACTCAGCGAACACTACTAATTACAGAAAATCCATGCGGGCTCCGGTTGCTGTGGCCTGCAACCGGATCATCTCCGCTGAGTCCGACTCCCGGCTGGAGGGCGGAGGAGGACGGGGGTGTTTTCCAGGCTTGCTTCTGCTCGAGAAAGAACCGTAACTTCTCCGTTTAGTGTTAAATACAGAAATTAAGGGCTCGCGGTGTGTTTAAACTCGGAAAAATGCTCAACTTTCATTCGGAAACTCCTGCAGCTGCAGCGGCGATGCGTACATCCAACATGGCAGCAAGACAGAGCAGACCACTTTAAAGAGAGAGGAGAGGGGGGTGTCGGTTTGGGTAAACTCTCTTACTACCCACTGTAATATGGATAACACGGTGGCGTTGGCGCAAACACCGAAAGATATGATCTAATATTAACTTCCAGTTAAAATTGTGTGACATGTGTGTTTTCGGTCCATTGTGAAGCTTCACTGTCATTGCTGAGACACAATGGTTGAGTCCGATGTGGCAGCAGGAATGCAGCTCTGCGGAGGGACAGGGAGGGGCGGGTGTTCAGCGCGTGGAAAAGGGATGGAGTGTGACGTAGAGCGGGCGGGGAGGAGCCAGAGGGTGGACACGCGAATGTAAATAAGGTACCTTTCGTCATAAATAATTTATAAAATGTTTAATATTTTGTGTGTGAGGCCTTGTGTGGGGAAAATAATCAAATATTCTGCGTTTGCACCCCATAAATAATGATAACGATGCTACATTTCTCCAGAAAAAAAGTACATTGGAACATGACATAGCCTACATCATATGAAATACATACAAAAAAGAAAATACATGTTTTTTGAGCAATAAAGCATGTCTCCAAATACAAGCATGGAAATGACCATAAAATGAGCTCTCTTTAAGATGTGTAGTAGTGTAACAGACATTTTCTGCATTTGAGGTGCCCTGTCCCCTCTGAGTGGTCATCAGGCAGATTTTGTTGGCTGAATTCTGCTTTTAGCACATGTTACTGTCAGTCCTGTATGCTTTAATACTGCTGCATCCATCACTTTGGTTCTGAGCAAGATCAACAACTTCTGGCCAGATCAACAGCTTTTTGAACATTCCTGCATGTTCAGCGAAGGCCCTTCTCTCCCTAAATTAAATCCCCATCAGTTTACACTTTTGAGCAATTCCTTATGTTATGCCCCACCCCAACTTGGACCTACAAGACATGTAGTCATCCCTGCATTAAAGAAGCAACAAGCCATGACAGACTAACTGTATTTAACTAAAGTTTGGCAACCCCTTTATCGAAAAAAAAAAAAAAATCAGAAGGAGGGCTGTGAATGGGGCGGTGGCAGATGTATATATGTTGGCGGAGGTTGGCGTCCCGTAGGTCCTGCTTGCCTTCTGCCGGTTTAGAGCCAGTAGCATTAAGACCAAAACTAATCTGCTGACCAGCTGCTTCTACTCTCTGCTGTATAAAACACTGAGCAGAGGCCAAATAAGAGGAGTTAAAGGACCATTCACAACTATCACAGAACCCGCATTGTAACAAGAGTGACATCCTGCTAGTGTTCCATAGAGGCTGTGTGTGTCTGCAGATACAGTCTGAGAGTGTTGGACAGCAACAACATCCTGGTGATTTATCTATTCTTAGAGCCTTACCAGTAGTGAAGATAAGATTGTACAGTTGTCTCCAGGGTGACTCTAACAGGAAAGGTCAATGTCAAAATCGCCTGGAGAGCAGGAATAAAATCAGGACTTGTCATTTTAGCCATGTTAGCAGCATGGTTCTATGGATGGTAAAGTCAGTCGGTCGGTCCACTACTTTCTTCAGAATTAAATATCTGAACGACTAAAGGATGGATTGCCATGACAATTTTCCCCAGAGGATGAATTCTAATTTTGGCTTTTGGTTACTTTTTCTCTAGCGCCACCGTGAGGTCGACATTGGTGGTTTTAAGTCTCAACCACTATTGAACTGCCAATAAATTTGGTACACGCAGTCATGTTGCCTTCAGCATTAACTGTAGTCTAATAACTTCCATAATCCAGTCAAAATGTCAATTTGTCCAGTACTTTGCTTCTTTCCAAAACATATAGCCTACTTTCAAAGCTAATAACACTCCCATCAGTCTCAGCTGTACTTTAGTGCTAAGTAGCAAAAGTTATATGCTAACATGGCAAACATTATACCTTTTAAACATTTCATTGGGGGTCATTGAGCCTCACAGAGCAGCTAGTGTGGCTGAAAATAATATCTTTTGGTACTTTAGAATGAGCCGTTTTTATCCACAGATGGTCCTCTTCTGTGGAGTCTGCCATGTTGAACCACCATGTAGTTACAGTAGCCTAGAACGGACAAACCAAACACAGGCTGTAGGTAGAGCCTTTCATGTTTCACAGTTTCTCCTTGGTGTCACTTGATGTGTTGGAGTTATAAACCAATAAAATGCCATTGTCAAGCTGAGGCCCCACACTGTAGCTAAAACAGACCACCCGAGCACCTTCTTATCTCACCATCTTATTTCATACACACCTGTGGAGAGACTACAGGGATGATCTTAATTTAAACAGATGGTGAGGGGTGGTGGGGGAGGGATTGGCTGTTTTCTGAGACAGCAGAGATTTCCAGCAGTACAGACATTGCAAGACTGAGATGGCTTTGATGATAGTCAGCTCTTTTTCTCTTCTCTTGTTCAGGTGTTTCTCAGGTTTGCTGTCTAGAATCTCTCGCTCAAACTCACATGGTTGCATAACATTCTGGTCTATTTTCTGCTCCTGTGGGCGTAGACAAGGTAATGAAAGATACTGAACAAGTATCACATAATGTTGCAATATTTTTGTTTTTGTGATTTGTTTGCAATTAAAAGATTTTGGTTATTTCAAAAACTGAAATGGACTAAAATAATTTGTAAAGCCGTTCAAGGAGCAATTTGTGGTTCAATGTCTCTGTATATTCATGTATTTCACTGATTGCAACACTAGATGGCGGCAGACACATGATTGTCCAACCTCACCTCTCCGCCTCCTCCTCCTCTCTGAATATACAAGTAATTAAGAGGAATCATGGTTTAAAGAAACCCTCAGTATTTAACTCATCCCACTAATTCAGCTTCACTTCTCTATTCACAGGTGAATTTTATTTCTATGAATTTCTTTCCACCTAAGAAGTTGTTCATCTGATGACCCTAAAGTGCTCTCTGCTGCCTTATCAACCACCGTCTGTGTCCTCTTGAGCAGGGCTGTCCCTCATTACAGCTTAAAAGGATTTGTAGTCAATGAGGAGCCATGATATTTATACTTTGTCAAAATGTTGGTAACAGCCTGTTCCTTTCTTTGAAAAATGACTATCAGCAGGGTTAAATGATGCATTTGACCAATAAGATCACACTCAATCACACACAATCCTGAATACAATATTTTAAAAAAATCTATATTTTAAGAAAATATTTCAAAATATTTATAAACGAAAAATAAAAAAGAGAAGCAGTTGCATATTCAGCTGCAGATCAGAATACAATACTATTTTATTTTCCAGGATTTATGTTACTTTTTCATCATGTTGACATTTTTAGTTCAATAAAGGATCCAAAATGGACTGAAATTCATCCATCATTTAAACAAAAAGGTTCAGACAAATGCGAACAGCATCTGAAATAAAGCCCTCTTCCCAGCACTCTCCTCTGTGGCCCAGACGTAACCTGGGCTCTTTTCTCTCAGTCTGCCCGTGTAATTGAATCAAAACAGCTGCAGAACAGCATGATGGGAGTCATCATGTCTGTCTGTGTTGTTTCCTGTCCACAAGTACATTCACAGATCAATCCGACAATCACGGCCACTTTACACAGTGATTGGCCAGGCATGTGGTGGTGAGAAAATGAGCATGGTTTGAACTCCTTTCTTAAGTTTTCTGTTTTATTCTTCACACAACTAATTCTGTCACTTTCGGTGGGTACAAATAAGTGCAACACTATAAATATCATCAAGGAGGGACAGTTTACCAACGATTACGATTCCCACCCTGCCTCTGGCTCATGGGTCTTCATGTCTTCAGATTTCTGCAGCTCATTCTTTAGCTCCGCTATTTCCAGGAGCATGGCCTCTTGGTCCTTTTTTTCAGTTGAAATCAGAACTTGACCTCAAAGAATTCTGCTACCACACACGCACATACAGACTCCAGTAAAACAGTCACAGACAAAAGCAGATCATTACATACACAATGTTCCATTAGTGTAGCTCCAATGTGTATATTTCAGGCAGATTTACACTGCTTTATTGTGACAAAACTCCTCCAGAGTGTGTTTGGATCAGATTCTCTGACCAATCTATCTTTCCATCTAAAGTTTTTCTTTGTCTAAGTGCTGATCACCTCAAATGCACCACCTTAATGCAGGTGTGAACGAGGTATGAAAGCTTGCATGCTAGCTCTTTCTATGTAAATACTCTGGACTGATGTCAAACCTTTATGGAAACCACCCTTCCTCCTGCAGCTCTGTGTGTGCATTGCAGTTTTTCTCATGAAAGTGAATGTCAAAAGCATCAAAACCTTACAGGAACGTCCACCCGCCCTGCTCAGCATTTCCAGTATTTCACTGCAGCTGACAGGAACTGCTTCTCCTGCACAGCTCTTATGAAACCCAGCTTCTGCTGCAGTTTGTCTCTGTGTGGTAGAGTTGTCTGCTGTGCTACCTACAAAGGAGCATCACTCAGGAGGCCCAGTCTAATCCATGAATGTATGAAGACAAACCATTGGCTGTTTATTAGAAGGAAAAAACAAGTTAGAAAGTCCTGCCAGAGTCCCTTAAGTAACGGTTTCTAACATCTGAGCCATGGGCAAATGCCAGGCCACTGATACTTTGCTACCAGGCTGCACACATTATTTGTGAGGTACTTACCTTGGAGTTAGTTGTTTTTCTGTGCTGGATTTTTCTTCATCATTCTTTGTCACACCCACAACAGGATACTGATTTCCAACTAAAGTAGCGTCACGCTATCATCACCCACTTACTTAATCTGCACATGTGCTGTGTTCCTATTGCTGCACTAGCTAGAACATAAACTATGGGCCTAATGCAACTTGTACGCACAGTCATTCTAAAGTGGTAGGTACGAGTTATTTAACTTGTGGTATACACCAATTTTAACATTTACATTTAACAATGTATGCCAAAAAATGTACAAAAATACAATTTTTTACTATTTTTATGTCAAAATCCAATATTTTGTCTTCCTGTAAAACAAAATGTGACGCATGCTTAGGTAGCATGAACAAACTAATTTCAACCAATAACATCTTGACATTCACCCATCAACCAATCTTCAACTTTTACCAATACGGTGCAAAGATCCATTAGATAGCTAGCTATTACTGTGAAAAGACACAGCACTCTCACATGTACAAAACTTTATACACAACTTTATCTGTAATTTGGGTGAAACTGGATCATATTCAAT